ATTAAGATATTTACAGATCTATAGGACTACGTTATTTTACATCAAAAGCAGTGCATTTTCATTCCAATCTAAGACAGAAAATAACAGAATAGTTTCACTTCGTTAAATAACTTCAGAATATCTTTATCTGTATGAGATTGGTGAAGGTTTGTATTCAAGTGTTACAGTGCAAACATCTATTACAGCATCAGGGAATGAATTATCAGGGGCAGAGAATCTCAAAACAGCTATCTAGGTATCTACACCATGTAGACAGAAGTGATGCAACACCTGATTATAGAACACTGTAGATCAATCTGAAATGATAGGTCTCTGTGTGATAAACATTCAACTTTCACTTTCAGCACTGTTCACTTTTGAGTATTTCACCTTGAGCAACTGGTCAGCAGCCAAGAAAACAGCAAACCAAGTCAATTGGCACATATGACAACTTGAAACACAATTAGTGAGAAAAGCACCAGCATATAATTAAGCTAGAGTGAAACATTTTGCACGAGGGCAAAGGGCACCTGCATACTACCAATCATTCTCCAGTGACCTCCCCTGTCTATCAAGATGTGTATATCTCAATATGATATGTAACTGTTTACCTAATTGCTTGTGTTGCACAGAGAAAGCCATTATGAGTGCAAACCCCAGTAGTGATGGAGGAGACTGATGGAAGAGACTGATGCTGGTTATGTGGGGAGACATTGGATATTGTGGTATGTTATCAGCTCTCATCAACACATGTTTGTAACAAGGTCCTGACACCATCAATACTCAAAGTTCCAACATACAGCAACTTCTAACAAACATTTTTGATAACTCCTGTACAAAATGTGTCGGACTATATTACATCATTGCACTTATCTTATGACAACATATTTACATCTGAAAATGTAAACAAGCAGGACAGCACAAGGAAGCCAGAAAGTCAAAAACAATTATACCTGAGGCATCAAATAGAATCTATACATTTAGTTAAAAAAATGAAATGTACACAAATCTAATATCCTTTTTATCAAATGAACAATAAAATTTGCAAATATTACAGAAAGCATGCTTTTCTATATCATTCTTTACGTCATCTTACCCTGTATTGTGAGGTTATAATTAATTTGGTGTGATTGTGACATCATTTCTTTGTCACCTCCTGGCATCGCAATAGGTCATATAATATAGAACAGGGGTCCATACATTGAATGACACTGCAATTATTTCATCAAAGTTAACTTACCCTAAATAAAACAAGAACTATCATCCTGAGAGTAACTAGTATCCCCTGCAGATGCAAAGACCTCTATACATACCAAATTTGATAAAAACTACAAGAAAGTAAAACAGTTGCAATTAATTTCAGCATTCCCTAATACCTCAATATACAAAATATAAGTAAAAAATCAGACAATATCTAAATTTCAACCAATCAGAAGACACCATTTAACTTAGCAAGCTTCTTATGTCACACAAACAAATACAGTAATATTTGTTCCCCTATTACATACCAAATTTTGTCAAAATTGGATATCTAACATCTAAATTTTTTACAAATCAGAGGCCAGGAATGTGTTACCATAGTAAATGTTTCTAAAACAATGTATCCTATCAGTTATACCAATTGGCCTACGTTATATAATAAAATCTGTCCAATGACCAATGAATAATGGCCATTTACACTAGTCACCATGACAACCAAAATTTGGGGGTGGGGTGGGGTTGGGGGGGGGGGGGGGGGGGCTTGCTAGGTTTGCTGAGTGCTTGTGACATGGAGTTATGTCCAAATTTTTGTCCCTAAATACCCTGGAAGGATCAGAAGACAAAAATATTCTACAATGGTTTCAAATACTTTACTTACATACGGCAAAATACAAAAGGATAAGGAAGGCTAACCAAAATACATTACTCTTGGAAACATTGTTATCAATAAGAAAAGTGTACAAACAGATATATCTACTAGTCTATTACGTATTTGTATCACTTCAATCTAGCTATACTTTATTCATAAACCTGTAAGCCTGTTTAATCATCTTAACTATTTATTGAACTAAAAAAGAAATCTTTTATCAATTCACAAGACATTCTGTACAACTTGACACCGTATCATTATAACCGCATCTTACCATGACATCAACACCACAAACATATTACAGATGTGCCACAAACATTCCAAACTACTTTAGTGTGGGTCTGTGTGTTTTCCCAGTGAAATCCCTGATAAGCCATGATAAAACGCATGGCGTTACACAATGATACAGCTACATGATGATGTACCAAGCTCTCTTCTGATAAACATGTATCGCCACAGGAAGCAATTAATACAGGCAAGTAAAAATATCATTATCAGCTTTCTCCTACCAATCAGTACATATCTTGATACAGAAATTAAAACCTTATCAGTCTGCAAGTCTATTCCATCGGCTACTACTTCACAACGTATACTGTAATGAAAATATTCCTGACATATTTTCATGGAAAAATGAAATTTTGCAATATAATATCAGACGTATTGATATGAATGGTATTCTAGCTGATATAAATCAACACACTTCCTCCGAGGTTAAATTTAAGTTTTCACGCGAAAATTAGGATGCTTAAATCCCATCAATTCAGTATGCATTACTGCATATTACTATGTGCATGTATATGTAACCATGTACTTCAATGGTCTAGGCTTACAAATTGATAACAAATTTCATTGAGTTACGTAATTAGTACAAACTTTCCATTGACAATTTTACAATCATTAGAACAGGGGAAAGAATGGGACTTAACTGGAATATTCATTTTTTTAATCACATACATGTTTTGAATTGCATACCAAATGTCAATAATTTAAAAGTATCTTCCTGCAAAACATTAAGCTTATCACTGAATGGCTGCAGAAAGCCCACACTGGAATCCCCATCTCATTTGAACCTTCTAAACTACAGAAATATCTGACAAGTATTTTAGATATTTCCAATTGTAGTACTGTCTACCTTGTCTGAGGAGGCAGGCCTTGTATATCTGCCATTGCTGATGTGTGTGGTAAAGAAAACATTGTCAAGGAATGTCTATAATAAAACAATGGGGTTTTGTACCACCATTCTAATCAGGACTGGGAAAAGTTTGTACTTTTAAGCAAGAAATACTGTGAGTACCCTGCAATAAGCCCACAGGCCCTGACACATCACTTCATACGCTAAGTTAGGTGTTGGGCTTATCATAAAATAATAATCATATGTCAATGAAACCTCATTGGTTTAAGGGTGACCCAATTATTACAGGCTTATTGCTGGATAAATAGTTGTAGTGTTATCACCAACCTGCGTCCTTTTACACAACCAAGCATTATCACAATGTGACCTTCATATAGATGGTGGTCTTCAGTTCACAAGCATACCTCAACACCAGCAAGAAATGTTCAGGTCGCTGGCAGAATTTACAAGACTATCAAGTATTCATTTAAGCCTATACAGTAAAGGGTTCACAGCAGTTACATTTACTCTGTGAAACACAAATGGGAACATCTAGATTATTTGCCCTCAATACAATTTATACAAATTTTGTTTAGTTTTTATACTTTTGCCTTTTTCTTTTTGTCATGGATGGATAACTTTCTATAATCTTATATTTCTACATCATGTTAATATTATCTACAATATGATTTTAAACTTGGCCGAGTTGATTTCAGAGACTGACATGGAAAGGTATGTCATTCCTCAAAGGAGAAAAGCAATATGAACACCATGTTACGTAAAAGACCGCAACTTAAAACCTTTGTTATATTAGTACGATTGCTAGCCAACCTTCCATTTACCCAAGAATATTTCAGTACTAATACCTATTGGACAGATAAATGGTACATGGTACAGATTATTCGGTACAAAATATTTGTGCTTAAAGTATAAATCATTATTATACAATAATGGTGTTGTTTGGTAAATAAGCAGTTATATACTTGAAACTTGACGTCATGAGCATCATCCTATATCCACATCAAGAAATCTTAATTTGCTGATATAATGTTATTCTTTTGTTTAAATGAAAAATCCTGAAAATTTGAACTCCCTAAATATAACCAGCTGTATTTATATTCTACATACTCCAAATACAAGCAGCAAAATGCATTTACCCCAAAAACCTTTACAAAGCTATAAAAATAGAAAATAGGTTACAGTGTTTTACTTCTCCTTCATCATGATGCAAATAACAGTTCTTTTTTTCTCAATCTGACTTGTCAGTAGCTGGAAACCTACAATATATTATGGAATGATCCATCATATTCTTTTCTAAAAAAAAAAAACAAAAAATCTTAAACTTCTGGTAATATTAAGTCTGAGCTGGATATACAACACTTAGGTCCATGCAAGTATCACTGATATCCAATGTATTAAATATTGAACACAATTTGACTGTATGTCCCATTTGAGATAGACTTACTAAAGTTCTTTTCTGAGAATACATATGTAACATGCATGGTTAAAGATTAAATGTCAAGAGATACACACTTTTCAAGTTCCTACAGACATGTAACATGCTTTTAAATCTAGCAAGACGGCAAAACATTAGACATGTCACTTAAATGTAAAGGCCTTATTACCACAAATGACAAAGGTTTTAAAAAAAATATCTGTAAGTCACCTGGTCTCCTATGTCTAGCCACAGGAAACATAAAACTCTAAAACCTTATTACTTATTGAAATGGTCGGCTTAGATCCAGACAATAGGTCAGACCAAAAACACAATTAAATTTAAAACCCGATATCTGACACAAAATAGAACAACATACATATACGTCTTCTTTTTAATTGTAGTCTCAGCTTGAGGCAAATGAAACAAGCAGCTAAACCATTGGATACTGATTTGGAAAGAGTCCGTCGTGATGACAGGAGAAAATAGCAAATAGGATACTTCCTCTTTGTCTTACTGTTTTGTCAGGCAAATTTGCGGGCAGCAGCAGTATTAGTATTCGATCATGAAGATAAAATTGCAATAACAAGTCAATAAAATAAAGATTATGTAAGTCAAGTCCCTACCAGACAATGGCCCTGGACACAAACTTCGTCAGAGGAATCATCAGTTCCACACGAGGTGCCATCCTCCACACGGTCTGCAAACTTGTGGTGGAAGTTGTAGTATATTGCACGACAGGACAGCTCACATTTGTTCTGGGCTGTTGATACAACAGATGTTATTATGAAGTCTTTAATATTATGTAATTACAAAATTAACAAATGTCAGGACTTTAATGAGTCGTTGGGTTAACTTCCTATGGGAAATTATGGTCATACTAATATTTTTACCTTGCTAGGGAAAAAATCCAAAACAAAATGAAATTTCACTTTCTGAAGAGTGAAAATATTAGCATTTTAGCTACAATAATATATTCACTTTACATCACATGTACTTTATTTATGGGCACATTCATGTTTCCTACTGTTTCAGTAAGTAGTAAAATCTGTATATATAATGTATCACACTTAATCTCTTAAATCTAAATTTGTCAAATTTTAGACAGCATGGATGATGGCCATTCCATGCATGTCTCACCTTTTCCAATGACATATCAGCTGATAATACACTGTTTCTTTCCTTAACCTTAGTTAGAGTTGGGGCCATACAGTTTAGTACAAAACTTTCTGTTGTACTTGTTTTCTTATTTCTTTCAAATTGACCTGTTCATCTTCATTTAAATAGTGTGCGATAAATACTTTGGTTGACTATTTTAGAGTGTTTGGGGATCTTGTTGGAACCATCATGGACTTTATGAAGTTCATACATACTTTATATATTTCACTATTAAAGCTAACAATAATTTCTATTTCTTTGATATGAAAATCTGTCATACATTTTGGCCTAGCCTGTATATTGCAGCCCTCAAATTTCCTCGATGGAGAACTTATGGATAATGATATTAAAGTTCAACTTCACATCAAACTCTTAGGCCCCAATACACACAACTTTCATAATAAAGCAAAGTGAAGTATTATTCACTTGTATTGATATAGTAAAAATAAAATCACGAGAAACACTCACGACAATGTCATACAATGATTTTTATATAAAAGCTGTAGATAGTTCTTTTTTGTAAACTCTCATTTATGATTTTTGTCTCAAACCGAACTTTAATGGGTATTTTTTTACATTTCCGTAAGAGGCCCGTTTTAATAATAAACATATTATCTAAAGCCATGTATACACTCTTACAGACTACACGAGCCCTCGAATGACTACATACCTACCTGTTAATATTTTAAGTAGAACCCACTTACATGAATGTTCGTTTGTTTCGATATCCTTGGGAAGTGTATCTTAATAGATACAACTAGGCGTAGGTAGGTTTTAATTTTATCTATCAAGTGGAAGTCTTCTCAGATGTTTTTCAATCTTATAAATTTGTAAAATAATGCGTCTATTGGGAATTTAAATATTTTCAATATATATATTGCTCCCGTGTGGAATGGACCGCCTTCTTCAGATTCCGGCAACTACAAATTCGTCACGTGCGCAACCGCCTTCGTCCTTTTCGCGCCGTTTGGATGGAAGGGACATAACTCCCAGTAAAAGTTGTGTTGGTTTCACGTAGCTATTCTAAAGTGTGTGAACTAGCCCTTTACCTACACTTCAGCATGGACGTACATTGCATTATCTAATATGTGTCCTTGATTTTAGGTGATTAACATAATAGAAGTCAGCAAATTTGTATTTTATATCTAACCACAATGACATCGCCCTTACAAAAGTTATTGGTAATGTATAATCATTATTTTATAGTTTAAAGAGTAAGCTTGATAATTAAATGTTGTAAAAAGAAAACAAGATTAATGTGATATGTATCAATGTATCTCTACTACGGTAGTGTTACCGAAACCTATGATATATAATAAAGAAATTTTATGTAACATGGTTACATGTTAATCATCAGTCATCAACTTACGATTGATATACTTGTCCCACTGGTAGCGCCGTCCTCTCACTAAATGATTGCTGTACCTACGACACTGTGCTGTCCGGTCCTCAACCTGCTTTCCCTCACATTTCTGTAAAACATTACAGATAATTTAGCCTTGTTTACCAAAAACATCAGGGAATAAAACAACAGAAGATGTAAATGCAATGATTCAATGATTTCAGCAGTGTGGTAGTTAATCGGAAAGAAAATATGTACCTATATATATATATCTTTTTAATTACCTGTAACTCACACCGTCGGTACTCCACTCCACGACCGGTACAGTAGCTTGGGTTCAGACTCGTCTCCCCTCTTCAAAATGATATTAATGCATTTACAAAATCATGATTTGTTTGACATAATCCTGATATTTCTTACACAATAGAAATGCATTTCCCCGCCTACAACACGTATCACATAAAGACTGACTTCTCACCGAAAAAAATTGAGGACCATTACTTAACAATACGATACGTGATACTTCTAAAATCTTGTCATTTTGATATCTAAAATAATTAATAATTGGTGGTTTTACAGTAACAAAGACTATTAGTTCGGTTTTAGCATTTCCGAACGTGGTTCTAATAGACAATACTAATCAGGTACACTGCACTTTTAATTAACAGAAACATTTCATGATTGTGTAAGTGAACGTGAGGTATACAGATATAGATAGATTTAACCAAATCGTAAAATATAGATACAAGAGAGGAACACTATAATAATATAGGAAAATCGTGGTCACATCATGAAATAAAAGAAATATGAAGAAATCGACAAATAATTTTTTAACACTTTCGTACACTTTTTTTAATGTTATTAATGTTATTGCTGTCTTTAATGAAGACGGATGTGGAACTCACTGTTCATTAAGACACTTCCTGTTCCGGTTCTGAATACCCTGGTTGCACGTCTTGGAACACTTGGACCATGACGACCACTCATTCCACGATAAACTTGACTGATGATAACAAAGAAATCGGTATCTTATAATCTCTTCATAAAACACATATTGTAAAACATAGACTTGAAAAAAATGTAATATGCATGATTGTGCCCATAAAAACATATGACGATCGTGATTGTCGAGATAGAAACATATGACAACTGACCTTGACCTCCTGTCCTCGTGCTGTTACAAAGAACAGGATCAGGTTGATGACAATCGCTGTCCTGGAATGTCATAAAAGGAAAATTAAGCAGAGTTGTGCTCAAGTAACCATAGCCCCATGATAACATCATATCGTGACTATCAAAAACATGTACAGAACTGTAACATATCACAAAAGAAACGACAACAGCATCATAATGTTTATTAATTTTGTGTTTTGTAAGTTTGTTGTGTAAATTAATTTTCTCGGGGGTGGCTATCAATAACTGTTTTACTGTACCAAATAGACGCTGCACTTTAAGTAGCATAGCTATGGAAAGTGGTTATGTAGCATTTCCGAACTTTTGTGACAAACAGCAGATGTAATTACTCCAGATTTTACGATGGACACTATGTAGTTAAATGCATGAAGTGCCATAACTAAAAACAAAAATATAATGGTCCGAATTATTGAAATTGTCCGAGCTTTCGATATATTAACTTGACATCATAACATTTAATGGACACTAGCCGTCTGTCTCTCCATCACGACTGCCCGACTACTAGTCAGTATATAATTCGTCAGTCTTAACGGTCATCACTCGTCCTCTGAAAGACCGAAAGGTCGTAATAGTGGACGTAAAACCCATTAAAATAAACAATATAAATACGGTCATCGAGTCTGGCGTTCAGACGTCTTACGTTTGCGTTAAGTGGATTCTAAATATTGACTACTAAGTCAGACACGAGATGTAGGTTGTCACATTTATCTCTACATGACGTTTAGAGTAAACAGTCAACACCTCGGATGGATGTCTGGTCAGTTCTAGATAAAATACCAGGTGTCGCCGTCCGTTTCTCTGGAGACCTCTCATGTCCAAGTGTCTCGTCTTGACCAATAACTTGTAATCGATGTTGATTCTACCGACTGGAATACTCAACGACGTAGACAGATTTGTTTGTCACCGCGTGTCATATTGCAATGTTTCTATTGATGTTTAGAGTTAAAAATAATTATACGGTAAACATAAAATTTGAGCTCGCGACAAGTTACTTGACTAATCGTAAGGGGTAAACCTCCATTGCAGATTGCTTTGATGATAATTATAGTAAAGCCTATCGGTTCTCGGTGTCGTTTTTCTGCCTCTCAGCTCATTTTATCGAAATCGAAGATTTCTGTGTATTCTTTTGTAACAGTTTAAAGACTCGTCATATCTTATCCGTGATAAAGCGATTTGTCGTGACATACCCTACGATTACAAAGAAATGTATTATATAAACCCTTGAATTTTGAAGATGCAAAGGTCTGGTTTTAAATATTTTTTATGAACAGATACTTCATTAAATCACTAAAACATGTCATTGATCAAGAAGATTACTTAAAAACTAGTCCTACATACTACCAATTTCTCATAACGTTAAATAACCCTATTTCAACGTTAACATTTTAACGTAAACTTAAGTACGTTAAATTAACGCTTGAATTTAACGTTATTTCTGACGTTAGATAAACCTTTTTAACGTTAAAATAACGTTTTGAAATCATTGGCTGTGTAGGGTATGAAAATGTTAATATTAGGAATAGCCACCAGGCTTCTGGTATAATTTTATTATAGGTCGTCCCGTACTATTGACCAAACATCCAAGTTTGTTCTGAGGAAATTTGCCACTCCTAAAACAAAACAGTCCATAATTCTCCATTGTTTCGCATTTTGGATCCCGAATACTGACTTTTTTGTCCGAGACAGTCCCAAACATGCTCAATGAGGTTCATATCTGGTGTCATTGCAGGCCATAGTAATGTCTCTATGACTTCTTGTCGGAGGCAGTCTAGCACAAGGCGGGCTCCGTGTGGTTTGGCATTGTCATCAATTTAAGCGAAGCTTACAGTTTAGAGAAACGCATCCCAAACAGTAACACCGCTACCACCAAATGCTATTGTCCTCAGAATGTATTTTTTGGTCTCCAAACATGGATCTTGTCGTCTGTCGGACTAAGTAAAAGGAGGCTTTAATCAGATCAGTGCCCGTTACAGTGGTGCTTATTCTTTACTGGTCGGCGAGAGCGAAGAGGATACGGCGGCTAACGCGAACATCGACGTTCCACTGTCCTCTGAACCTGTGGCAGTGGTAAAGGGGCCTCGCCTTGTCTGTCTACACTAAAGTCTATCTGCAAGTCCTGATACACTTGTAAACATGCTCGGTTTGGTTCAGGCGCTGCATTAACCGAAAAATCACAGAATAACTGACATCAAAAACGTCCAATACGTGGCTGTGTGTCATACCACCTTGAACCACTCCAGAAGCTTGCCATCTTCCAGCATTTGTCAATTTTCGGTTGGCCATTTTAAGTACAGTACGAGAATGTGTATTATTTACAGGTAATGCACGTGCATACTCTGCTTTAGGTGGCAAAGCAAACATGTGTTTTATTAGAATACGGGATACAACAATTTAATCCGGGTTATCGTTAGTTTGGTGTATTGATTGGTGGCGTACGGTACCAAACATAACAAGGAATACTAGAAAGCCACTACAATAGGAACAATCAGTATTGATTTAAATGTTCATAAGGGAATGGATGGTCCCTAATTTATGATCATGTGTATATACCTGTGTAAATTTAAAAAAAAACCAAATATAGCTTCTACAATTTCTGGAAATGATAAATATATCAACTATTACAAAAAATATATGGGGCTGTATATCATCAAAAAAAAAGACAGTAAAACACTGATAATATTGTATTAATAAATTAATTGATTAAGATAGTTTGATGGTTAAAATGTTAATGACACAACTTTTACAATGGGTTGCCATGCCAATTACGATATGAAGGTAAAAAAATGCATATGCTTATGATAAGAATGTGTACATTCATAACACATAATTAGGCCTAATAATGTTGTCAGTTTGTAATATTTGTTGAATATTGTGTTCTAGGATGAAACATAAAATATATAAATATAGATGTATGTGATTATGAAGACTTTAATAAAAAAAATTGTTGTAGAAAATGGACCTTTCCCTGACAAATTTGAAGTCATTTGGCTCTATACTTTTGGTCTCCCTCAATACAACACAACGCAATCAGCGACTTTGTGACGCTATTTAATCAAGCATTTGTACCTGACATCACACTAGATTAAATTACATCTGTATTATTCACGAAACAATAAGGCAATCATGGGATAATTTGATTCAGATATAGAACATGATTAATATAGTAAAATTTCAATGGAGTCCTGGTTATGGTCCCTGAATACTTCGTTAGAAGACTGCTAGAAGCGACATTTGCGATGACTTGCATTAGACCTCATTGTCATTCATCAAAAAAACAAATACTTTTTTTACGTTATTTGGGTGTATGTATCCATCTCTGTGCGATAATCACAATATATTTTCATAATGTTATTTCTAATTCTAAAATATTCCGTATCACATGAAAGATGATTGCGGTTGGTAGCCATTTTCATGAAGCAATTAATAGCATAAAAGTCCCGATGTTGCACTCAACACTTTACCGTGGCATGTATAATTGGCCCCAAGAGGGTCATCCTATTGTGTGTAGTAGCCGACGCCTATATATATACGCAATCAATAAAAACAAATCATTACAGGAGATATAGCAAGCAAGTACTTACCACATGTCTCACAGATCCAGTTGACCATCACCAATGGAATGACAATTGTCCAGATTGTACAGTGTACACAAATATTTGGATGTGTATTGCTAGTCTGTCTAGTCTCTCAGGCTGTTTCTCCAACTTGAGTGGTCAAAATCAACAAAGTATGTCTCTGTCCGGGATAGCTTGACCAATACCTAACTATTTAGAATTACACGCCAAGTACTTCCGGACAATATCGTATATAACCTCTTAATGTGTCCAGTGCTTGATAAACTGAATATATTTAGATTCGATTGTCCGGACCTATTTGGCAGATGACCAGTAATGGTCAAACAAATTGACCACCAGTATATTACTGCCACTTGATCTTAATATTGTCCTAAGGTTTAAGTTTATAGTATACTGGTTATACTGACATACATATACCAGGCTAAACAGATTAGAGATTAACTCGTTAGAGCTGGTCAGTCATCCGAAATTGATTACTGAGTGGATTACATGCCAATACACCTGGACAGTCAGTGGTAATTTCCCGGCCTTTATGGTCGATAATTTTTATCATTGATTTGCACAAGTACTTAGCGTGGTGTACATTATGTATACTCAATATTTGATGTTAGAACAGATACGCTGTGTATTATTCTGGTAAGTAGTTTTGGAGGGCTATCAAGTTACCGTTCCGTAAAGCCGTATTTACCTACTGTCATGTAACCTATCACCATATCTCACTACCGCTAAAACAGTTTACACGCCAGATTTGATCGCTTACATAACAATAATCATAATAAATACGATTTTCATTGTGTTAGGTCAGGCTGTTTGACATTGTTCTTTAGCTTGAATCCTACGGTTAGTTTAATACACTATGTCGGGTTAGAGCTGTGGTCCAACTATTATGTAAGGAACAATGCCGCCAAATAGCTTCTGGACGAGTTTATGAAAACAGGACCCACAGATAGCAAATCTCTCAAGATAAAATATTTCTTTTAGTGGGACAGAACCATAATAACAGTCCGTAAAACACCTCTTGACTCGTGTTGTGTTTTTAGGTGTTTACTATGGAAAGTGTTTTCTGTCACTCCGTCACTTAAATACATGTAATCTGTCCTAGCACAGCACTTGAGCTGACGTGCCAAACCGTTGGGGACAAAATGAAATATGTTTTATCCTCTATATATTTATAAGCAATTACTTTACAGATGTTTTCAATTACAGAAGATTACAACAATTGAAACACATTATATGTCGATCCAGCAAATGATGTGAGATTTCAAGTGACTCTGTAATGGCATTCAGTATGATCATTGGCAAATATCTGGGTCATTAGACATACGTAAATGAACATAAACAGGCATAGTGATCAAATCCTAACCATGAATATGTACCAAATATATTAGGGGTGTGGGGGGGGGGGGGCGGGTCTGGGGGCTGTTTTATCATAGTTACATCTATAACACATACATTAACGAACTAAGAAAGATTATTAACAAACCATTGTTAAGCTATAGGAAGGCATTCATCAATATTAATCAATAAACTAATTAATTAATCAAGCGATGGCGGACAGTGTGATTAGAACAGAGATTGACTTATTGATAGCGGTTAAATAATTTTAAACGTTTCATGGAATCAAAGCATTTTGGTGTGATTGAACTAAGAGAAAACCACGATATAGTGACCTTATTGAATTTAAGAACCCGCTTATAAAATTTCTTACAAAATCATCGCCAATTCAGAACCAAACTGGCATCGTTATGTTTTATTCATCCTCGCAATGGGATACCACGCATTTATTTCCATTAAGGTAGTTGATGTTATGAGATGGATCAGAGGATCAAATCAAGGTTGCAGAAATTGATTTTCTATTCAAATGAAACAAATCCTTTCTGTCAGGCCTCTACCACATAGCGGTACATGTGATACCGTAGTAACATATCCATAGTAACATTGACATTGACCTTTTGACCTGAGCAGATTTTAGTACCAAGACACGAAGCTAGAGCATGTTCACAGGAAGCAATCCGTGAAACGAAGGTGTGATACATGTACGTACAAGAGAACAATATTACACGGAAACTTTTCCTCGGACAAGCAACTAAGTCAACACTACGATCTCTAAAATATACCAAAATAGCGGAGTGTATTGTACTTTGCCAAGTGAAAAAAGTAACAAAAGCTGTATGTTGTTGTATGATGATGAGTAGATTTACCAGAATAGACAGACAAAAAAATGGAACGTTTGGAACAGCTGTGAATTGACATAAAATTATATGAAATGGGAAAGTGGTTATTATACCCGTGGTCATATATTTAAAATGTGAGCGATCCTCACAGATAAAATAAAGAAAGACAGCTATAATTTTACTATTTATTCCAGTCTTCTTACTAACGTACACGTTTCTCGGTGGTCTCTGACCTTGCGTTACTGTAATAGTCTCTGACTCCAAGGCGAACGCGCGGGAAGAATGTGGGGAAAAAGAATTCCGGATTGTGGTCCTCAATCACAACAGATGGGGCAGCTGATGGTGGCGACTCCAATCGGCGAGACCGGCGGTTGAGTTCAGGAAGTAGTATTACCACTTCCAAGATCATGGTAAATGTAACAACAGCCATCCAAATGATTAAGCCCACAAACATAGAACTGGTCAACATCTCGTCACCTGTGGCTGTTTTTAGTGTTGTAAAAAAAAAGTTGATTTAAATTTTCAATAGTAAGTCATGTAGCGAGTCGGTTTTCTCACAACAAAAGAGCTTATATAAGTTTTGGCTTGTTTTCCACCCCAGATGAAATGTACATATATTTAATATAGAATTATAAGTCCCTTACCGTCATATTCGGACGCATCGACTGTCAAGATTATCGCTATACTGACAGAGTGAAACATATTATTACTGCAATCAGAATAATTGTTTATCAAGTTGAATCTTAAGCGTTTAAATACACGAAGGGAATGAACTTCATTTTTTCTGGTCATTGTCAAGACTCGAAGTCAATATAAAAATATACTCTTTCACCAAAACATTTACCAAAGTGATACTGATATAACTGATATAAATGTCGATGGCCAGCATATGTGAACACCAAGCAAGCACCAACGAAACGCAAGACATCAGCCTCGCTGAAACGGATACTTACTTCGACCTGATGCGACAGGGGTAGCTGTGTATGGACCTACGCACACGTGACCGTCCCACGTGTTGATACAAATTTGGTTTGAGGAACAGTCACCATTATTAACAAGACATTCGTTGATATCTGACAATACAATAATGAGAACCTTTAACCATGGAGGAGGGCATGGCGATATGCTGTCTTTTATGTAGACAAGATATGTATAAAAAGGGCTTCTTCATTTGTAAAATATATGTAAACTACGATGTCACAAAAATCGAAAAAACAGGGATGATGTTCGATAATCCTTATAATCAAACGTTTCCGAAATAATTACAGAATGTTAGGTTGTTAATTACTTATCAACAAATTCTTAATCTAATTGTACAGTGCCTGATTACAAACAGTTATTCTCGCATTTTTACCTGCATTTTTTTGATTGTTGTCAGTTTCTTGTTAAGGTGCTCTTGATTGCATATCGTGAAATATTAACACTCCCGCGAACTTGAAGCGGTATTGAGTTGTCGTTCTTGACTACAACGCTAAGCATGATAGGAGCCCGCTCAAGCCGAATTCGTCGCCCGGACGGAGACACAGTTTCAAATTATTCGTAAGTTCTTTCTCGTTTATTGTGAAGTAAGTGTACTGTTTTTATATCAAGAAATTATTCAAAACTCATATGCGCTAATATTTTAGCATGCGAAGCTCTGGATTTGTCGTGACAAATACCGGGGTAAGAAATTCCCTTTGTTAGAATTTCCCGACTCTAAATTAGATCGAAATGACGACATTTGCTTTATTCAAGCGATTTCATTGGTTGGTATAATAAGATGATGGATAATCGTCCTACGTCATTTTAAAAGTAATATGCGATTGGCTGAGAAAAAGAAAAGTTATAAACGCGAAACCAGGGGAACCCCTGTAAGGCGTACTCTCGGTATACAGTCACGGACTATCTCCTGACTTCACGATAACCTTTCTTGACGGTGAAATTCCGTTTGCTTTTAAATTAGAAATTAATTGTACATTTTCATGAATACTTCAGCTATAATTCGCCGAAAGTAATAGAGTTAATTTTTCATCGATAGCGAACAACGGACGGAAAACTCGGGCTTTCATGCACAAGAAACTGTTCACTCGCCAAGAACAGTAACTCTGTATATATCTCAAAGGACAAGTAATTTCAAAGTTGCTTGTTTTACGAGAAGAAATTTAGCAATTCGGCATTCACCGCATCGTTTCAAGCACTTGTATTGTCACGTGACTTTATAGAATGAAATTTGAGAAAACTTCGGTTTTGGATCGTAAAATTTATTGTTGTTATTATTATTACAGTCTTAACGGCCCGTCAACACATAAAAAGGTCATTAGGGCCATCAACCGGTTTTGGATCTACATCCAAAGGCATCTTATATGTAAAATATCAGGAGCTGCATATTTTTCGGAATATGGTATTTTCCCGTTACTTTTACGACCCTTCAAAACAATTTTGTTCAAATATACTCCCCACCCCCTCAAAAAAAAAGAAAAAACAATCGGTAATCTCAATTTTTTTTTACTTTTAGTGTGTGTGTGGGGGGGGGATATCAGAAACAAAAACTTTATGGGAATAGATTATCTTTTATATTACCCAATTACTTACGCCTCCGGTTACGATACTTACCGTCACATCTATGTTCGTCGTTCGCAAGCAGGTATCCCTGTGGACAGGAACAGACGTAACTTCCGGCGGTGTTCTGGCAGAAATACTGACATCCCCCATTTCTTGTAATACACTCGTCTATATCTGAGATTGATGCACGAAAATATTTGACTTCGGTGCAAAATAATAGTTTGAACGTAAAAATGCTTCAAATTCGTATTACCGTTATCACGAAGTATTCACGTACCAAATGTAAAGGAACTAAAAGTGAAATCAGTTATTTGTAATATTAAATTGCGACTTAGTTTCAGAAAATCCCCGTCTCCAAAATAGATGACACCAACCTTGACAATTTCCGTTTCTAAGCATGTTGTAGCCTCTTCGGCAGGTACACGTGTACCCGAGGGGGCCGTTCGTACAGCCATGGTCACAGTCAACGGTGTGTAGGGCGCAGTAATTCACATCTATAATGTATCAACAGAGTTATGGTGAATCACATTGATCACATATCGCTCTCAAATTCTATTGTGTCGATTTTTTTTATGTGAAATAATATTTTACCATAAAAAATTAAAAGGACGGGTAGACTGAGTTAAAATATTGCAAACTGAGTAGACAGTAGAACGTCTTGAATACTGGATACATTGATAGGTGAATGACATTGCCTGTTGATTTAAATACGAATCTTTCTTTAATTGTTAGCTGAAACCCTGTTCCACCATATTATGTACTTTTCTATCTGGAATTCACAAGTAAAGGTCGACGTTAATTGCATAAGAAACGTATATCAACTACGCAGAACAGGATTTAATACTAAAGATGTGTATGCCCTGTCCGTAAGGTAATTTGTAAACAAACTGCAAAAATTCACTATATGCAACTGTCTTTTGCTTTAGGAAACAAAACTTATAAGTTTTTGTCAATTAAAAACATGTAGACATGTTATTGACGTATTGTAAAACATAAAATGAAAAATCTGTAATGCTTTAATTTTCAAAAATCATGTTCTGAAAATCTGACGTTTTACCACTCCTTACAGTACTTTTTCAGTATGATTATGAACTAGACCTGAAGTGAAAAGACTTCATGGGAAACTGAAGTAAACGTTTGTTTGTTGGGTAATCAGACCCCGTGAACAGTTGGAATAATCATCTAATTGTAGCAGCTAGTGTCTATCTCACTGTGCAGCATATGGTAAGTGATCTGATGCCACCAAGAGAAAATGGGGCTAAGAGTCTAGCTAGACCAAGGATGCAACCACGATGTCATAGACAGGGCCCATTCTGTTTCCATGAAAACGAACCGACACGGTTATTCACATTGGGTTGAGTAAACCAAAAAAATCAAACCAGTGTCTCACCATTCCTTATATTTAGGGTTGCTGGGCCGTAAAATCTGGAACTATTTTATAAATAAATGATGTGACGGTGTCCATTTTGTGATTGGACTATGTAACAAGTCTGATTAAAGTTGTATTTTTGGGGTAGCATATCTCAACTCAAAACTTTAAAAAGAGAAGTGTTGCTTTCGCGACTATTTGTCGCGGGCGAGACATACTGAAAGGTCCCACGGATAACTGCTTACCAAACGGATCCCAGGCTGGGCCTTGCATTCCAGAGGGTCCTGCAACACCGGCTTCACCTACAGCCCCTTGGGATCCAGTTGGTCCTGTGTCCCCGAGTGGTCCATTCACTCCTGTTACACCCGCAGTCCCTGTCGCGCCCTTGTTTCCCTGAAGCCCTTCTAAACCATTCCTTCCACTGTCGCCCCCTTCGCCAATGTTACCAATCTGACCTGGACTGCCGTGTATTCCTAGCGAGCCCTGTACGCCAGTCTGCCCCGGAGGACCCCGGGGTCCAGCTATGCCGGTGACACCTGTCTCTCCGTTTGCTCCATTTTGTCCTAGAATTCCAATGTTTCCTAGGAGTCCTTGAGACCCCGTTGGCCCCACTGGACCTGTGGGACCTGTAACTCCATTGCCTCCGACAGTTCCCTAAGATAAATTATCACACATTAATGTTGGTAGGCCGAAAAAGTGGACGTCAAATCAGTTAGATAAATGAATGTTGGTACAATATGTTTAACATATATTGTATACACGTTGTTTATATTTTTCTTAGAAAGAAGACATACCGTTATTCCAGTATTTCCTGTTTGTCCAACAGTACCGGCCACGCCTGTAGACCCGGGCAGTCCATTAACTCCCTCGGGGCCAGTGTTTCCCCGGGTTCCCCGGTCTCCGGTCACACCAGTCACCGGTGGAGGTATTAGTGCTTTTAAAAACGATATACGATGACTAAATATGTACATTGGAGATTTGTTTTATGTAAGCTTACTAAGACAAAAACGTTACATGGTTCATTACGGGGAGGAATTGGGAAGCAAAACTGAGGACCATCTATAACAAATGCAAATTGAGATTACGCCACATAAACAAGGATTTGAGCAGAGAACAGAGACAGGGCGTTTGCATGAAATAACACACACCGTCAATTTCAGCCATGACAGAGAATCTGTGTGTGACTTGGAAGTGACTGAATATAGCCTCCATTCCCTCGATCGCTATTCCAAACCGGAAGTCGCGTGAGCCAGATAGGGAGAATCGTGTGGGGTTGGAAGTGTACTCAAAAACCACACATGGTGTTGGCGACATGTCCACGAAAACAATTCGGTCAATTGAGGTTGCAACAACGGGATCTGGAACATCGACCTACAAAATATTCAAAAACCTATAACAGTGATCTTATATTTTCCCCAAACATTGTTTTCGTCATCGTTTCATATTGCCGCTTTAGTAACCACTTTGCATAACGGAGTAACATGGAGTTATTAAGTCGCAATCAGTTAAGTACAACATAGGAAGAGCACGTTTGGACTCTGTAATGGGCTATTTCGATGTGTGTAAACATTATCAATAGGCAAGAAAGAGACCAAAAACTCACAACTTCTCGACAAAATCCCCCAACGTTTGGAATCAACCAAAAAGACAATGAATCAAATTAATTTTGGAAATTAATCCGAAACGCAGAGTTTTTCACAATATAATAAAATAATGCATATATGGAATTGTTTGTCTGGTGCCTTTATTGTCCCGTGAGTAATGACACATGTTAAGACGCGGTCTCTTTTTTTGCTACCATACTGAACATCCTTCAGGAGGCTTTTTACATGCTATGTAGGCAATAAGTATAAAGTGTCTTGCACAGGGGCACAACCATGGAAGCACCGGAAGTTCCTGATAAACACAAAATGTCCTATATCACGGATCATCACCTGCAACTGAGATGTTCGATGCGCTACCTTTATAGCTGTCGCGACCGTTGTGTAAATTGGAATTCAACATACCACGTAGTACCCTGTCGCAGTAAAGTTCTGCAACGATGTCGTATACTTCATCCTAAAAGTCAACGACAATGCGTCCACAGTCGTCCACAACTGGAAGTAGACCTGGCAGTCGTTGCCCAATATGTTAACGTGAAAGGCGACAAGGCGTCCAAACATTAGGTCTGTATCACGCAACATCACGCCGATTCCCGAGGCAGAAGGTAGCAACACATCAGTAGAGGTGGTGTTAAACCCGAAATAAGCTAGAATAGACAACAGTCGTTTTACACAAGGAACAATCTAGAAGAGATGGCAGAAGAAAGTCTATATAAATCGTCATAGAATAGAACAGACGAGTCGATATATATATGAGATAAACTATTGCTGACGATAAACTGTATGAATCTGCTTAATGCTACCACAGACGATAGTTTATATGTAAGTCCGCAATAAGCTAGAAGAGACGACAGTCTGTATCAATCTGCTTTATGCTACCACAGCATATAGTTGATTTAAATATGCAATAGATTAAAACAGACGAAAGTCTGCATAATTATGTATAACAGTCTGTATAAGTCTGTAATATGCTTCAACAGTTTATACAGATCTGCAATAGGTTAAAACAGACGAAAGTCTGTATAAAATGTAATTCACTTGAACAGACGATAGTCTAGAGAACAGATCATGATCTATATAATCCGAATAAACTAGAAGAGACGATAGTCTAAAGATATTCCGACATTAGCTCAAGTACCCGATAGCCTACAGTATAAAACCGAAATAGGCTACAAACGACCAGACATTGACTGGATTGTCTGCCGTAGTTTTCTACCCAGACACGACATTGACTGGACTGTCTGCCGTTGTTTTCTACCCAGACACGATATTGAGTGGATTGCCTGCCGTAGATTTCTACCCAGACACGATAATGACTGGATTGTCTGCCGTAGGTTTCTACCCAGACCAGACATTGATTGGATTGTCTGCCGTAGTTTTCTACCCAGACACGACACTGACTGGATTGTCTGCCGTAGTTTTCTACTCAGACCAGACAATGACTGGATTGTCTGCCGTAGTTTTCTACTCAGACCAGACAATGACTGGATTGCCTGCCGTAGTTTTCTACCCAGACCAGACATTGACTGGATTGTCTGCCGTAGTTTTCTACCCAGACACGACATTGACTGGATTGTCTGCCGTAGTTTTCTACCCAGACACGATAATGACTGGATTGTCTGCCGTAGTTTTCTACCCAGACACGACACTGACTGGATTGCCTGCCGTAGTTTTCTACCCAGACCAGACATTGACTGAATTGTCTGCCGTAGTTTTCTACCCAGACCAGACATTGACTGGATTGCCTGCCGTAGTTTTCTACCCAGACACGACACTGACTGGATTGCCTTCCGTAGTTTTCAACTCAGACCAGACAATGACTGGATTGCCTGCCGTAGTTTTCTACCCAGACACGATATTGACTGGATTGTCTGCCGTAGTTTTCTACCCAGACACGACATTGACTGGATTGTCTGCCGTAGTTTTCTACCCAGACACGACACTGACTGGATTGTCTGCCGTAGTTTTCTACCCAGACCAGACATTGACTGGATTGTCTGCCGTAGTTTTCTACCCAGACACGACATTGACTGGATTGTCTGCCGTAGTTTTCTACCCAGACACGACACTGACTGAATTGTCTGCCGTAGTTTTCTACCCAGGCACGACAGTGACTGGATTGTCTGCCGTAGTTTTCTACCCAGGCACGACACTGACTGGATTGCCTGCCGTAGTTTTCAACTCAGACCAGACATTGACTGGATTGTCTGCCGTAGTTTTCTACCCAGACCAGACATTGACTGGATTGTCTGCCGTAGTTTTCTACCAAGACACGACACTGACTGGATTGCCTTCCGTAGTTTTCAACTCAGACCAGACATTGACTGGATTGTCTGCCGTAGTTTTCTACCCAGACACGACATTGACTGAATTGTCTGCCGTAGCTTTCTACCCAGACCAGACATTGACTAGATTGCCTGTCGTAGTTTTCTACTCAGACCAGACATCGACTGGATTGTCTGCCGTAGTTTTCTACTCAGTCACGACATTGACTGGATTGTCTGCCGTAGTTTTCTACCCAGACACGATTTTGACTGGATTGCCTGCCGTAGTTTTCTACCCAGACACGATAATGACTGGATTGTCTGCCGTAGTTTTCTACTCAAACCAGACATTGACTGGATTGTCTGCCGTAGTTTTCTACCCAGACACGACACTGACTGGATTGCCTGCCGTAGTTTTCTACCCAGACACGACACTGACTGGATTGTCTGCCGTAGTTTTCTACCCAGACCAGACACTGACTGGACTGTCTGCCGTAGTTTTCTACCCAGACACGACACTGACTGGATTGCCTGCCATAGTTTTCTACCCAGACACGACACTGACTGGATTGCCTGCCGTAGTTTTCTACCCAGACACGACACTGACTGGATTGCCTGCCGTAGTTTTCTACCCAGACACGACACTGACTGGATTCTCTGCCGTAGTTTTCTACCCAGACACGACATTGACTGGATTGTCTGCCGTAGTTTTCTACCCAGACCAGACATTGACTGGATTGTCTGCCGTAGTTTTCTACTCAGACCAGACATTGACTGGATTGCCTGCCGTAGTTTTCTACCCAGACACGACATTGACTGGATTGCCTGCCGTAGTTTTCTACCCAGACACGACACTGACTGGATTGCCTGCCGTAGTTTTCTACTCAGACCAGACATCGACTGAATTGTCTGCCGTAGTTTTCTACTCAGACCAGACATTGACTGGATTGTCTGCCGTAGTTTTCTACTCAGACCAGACATCGACTGGATTGTCTGCCGTAGTTTTCTACTCAAACCAGACATTGACTGGATTGTCTGCCGTAGTTTTCTACTCAGACCAGACATTGACTGGATTGTCTGCCGTAGTTTTCTACCCAGACACGACACTGACTGGATTGTCTGCCGTAGTTTTCTACCCAGACACGACACTGACTGGATTGTCTGCCGTAGTTTTCTACCCAGACACGACACTGACTGGATTGCCTGCCGTAGTTTTCTACCCAGACACGACACTGACTGGATTCTCTGCCGTAGTTTTCTACCCAGACACGACATTGACTGGATTGTCTGCTGCCGTAGTTTTCTACTACCCAGACCAGACATTGACTGACATTGTCTGCCGTAGTTTTCTACCCAGACCAGACATTGACTGGATTGTCTGCCGTAGTTTTCTACTCAGACCAGACATTGACTGGATTGCCTGCCGTAGTTTTCTACCCAGACCAGACATCGACTGGATTGTCTGCCGTAGTTTTCTACTCAAACCAGACATTGACTGGATTGTCTGCCGTAGTTTTCTACCCAGACCAGACATTGACTGGATTGTCTGCCGTAGTTTTCTACTCAGACCAGACATTGACTGGATTGACTGCCGTAGTTTTCTACCCAGACCAGACATCGACTGGATTGTCTGCCGTAGTTTTCTACTCAAACCAGACATTGACTGGATTGTCTGCCGTAGTTTTCTACCCAGACCAGACATTGACTGGATTGTCTGCCGTAGTTTTCTACTGGATTGTCTGCCGTAGACCAGACATTGACTGGATTGTCTGCCGTAGTTTTCTACTGGATTGTCTGCCGTAGACCAGACATTGACTGGATTGTCTGCCGTAGTTTTCTACCCAGACACGACACCGACTGGATTGCCTGCCGTAGTTTTCTACCCAGACACGACACTGACTGGACTGTCTGCCGTAGTTTTCTACCCAGACACGACACTGACTGGATTGCCTGCCGTAGTTTTCTACCCAGACACGACACTGACTGGATTGTCTGCTGCCAGACACTGACTGGACTAGTTTTCTACTACCCAGACACGACACTGACTGGATTGCCTGCCGTAGTTTTCTACCCAGACACGACACTGACTGGATTGTCTGACCGACATTGACTGGATTGTCTGTTGGATTCTACCCAGACAAGACACTGACTGGATTGCCTGCCGTAGTTTTCTACCCAGACACGACACTGACTGGATTGCCTGCCGTAGTTTTCTACCCAGACACGACACTGACTGGATTGTCTGCCGTAGTTTTCTACCCAGACCATTGACTGGATTGCTGACTGACTGGATTGTCTGCCGTAGTTTTCTACCCTGCCGTAGTTTTCTACAGAACCCGACACTGACTGGATAGCCTGCCGTAGTTTTCTACCCAGACACGACACTGACTGGATTCTCTGCCGTAGTTTTCTACCCAGACCAGACATTGACTGGATTGTCTGCCGTAGTTTTCTACTCAGACCAGACATTGACTGGATTGTCTGCCGTAGTTTTCTACCCAGACCAGACATTGACTGGATTGTCTGCCGTAGTTTTCTACTCAGACCAGACATTGACTGGATTGTCTGCCGTAGTTTTCTACTCAGACCAGACATCGACTGAATTGTCTGCCGTAGTTTTCTACTCAAACCAGACATTGACTGGATTGTCTGCCGTAGTTTTCTACTCAGACCAGACATTGACTGGATTGTCTGCCGTAGTTTTCTACCCAGACCAGACATTGACTGGATTGTCTGCCGTAGTTTTCTACCCAGACCAGACATTGACTGGATTGTCTGCCGTAGTTTTCTGACACTGACTGGATTGTCTGCCGTAGTTTTCTACCCAGACCACACTGACTGGATTGCTGCCGTAGTTTTCAGACATTGACTGGATTGTCTGCCGTAGTTTTCTACCCAGACACGACATTGTCTGCCGTAGTTTTCTACCCAGACACGACACTGACTGGATTGCCTGCCGTAGTTTTCTACCCAGACACGACATTGACTGGATTGTCTGCCGTAGTTTTCTACCCAGACACGACACTGACTGGATTGCCTGCCGTAGTTTTCTACCCAGACACGACACTGACTGGATTGCCTGCCGTAGTTTTCTACCCAGACACGACATTGACTGGATTGCCTGCCGTAGTTTTCTACCCAGACACGATATTGACTGGATTGCCTGCCGTAGTTTTCTACCCAGACACGACATTGACTGGATTGCCTGCCGTAGTTTTCTACCCAGACACGATATTGACTGGATTGTCTGCCGTAGTTTTTTTCTACTCTCCCCTTGACCAACGAGTGCAGTCTAGTGTAGTCAAGTAACTAAGGCAAATAATCCGGTCTAGAATAGACTAGACTCAAGCATCCATGACCAGACCAGACCATACCAGTCTAGACAAGGTTAGACTTGGTCAGATCAGTCCAGATCATATCTACAATCAAAAGACATCTTTCGATATGTTTATAGGAAGCAAAATATGAACAAATCTTTAGTTATGTTTCTTAGGTTATAAAACTTTTAAAAAAATCGATAGACATTAATAATGTATAAATTACTTACCAATGGTGGAAGGTTGCGTATCTACAAAAAAACAACAACTAACAAGTTAAGAATGATTTAAAACTAGACCATATGTCTTCGTATATCGCTGAGAGTTAGACGAAGAAAGAAATGTCAGTATAACGTCCCGGCGTTGACTGAACACGAAGCAAACAGATACATCCATTTATTAAACACTTGAGAAGTACATACACATGTAATACAACAAGAACCTACCCTGTATAATTCCCATGATGCCATAGTGATTGGTATCCTGGTACGGTAAAAATGTGTAAATGTTGCTAACCGTTGGAGTCTGAGTGAACATGTAAGTCAAGGTCGAGGATAGCGGGTTGATGACGAAGTTGAAGGTCACACATTCTTTGAGGCTGGTCGCGGTGAACCCCAATATTTCGGATCCTGTTAGACTGATTGCGTTTCCAAGTCCTAGGTCTACCTATAATGTAACAATGTAATTAACAGTTTAAAGTATGTGATTTTTCGATACATATGTAAGAAACAGTGCTGATTCCGTACACGAGACACTATGTAATACTTTGTATTCCCTTTTTCGATCAAGCTAATATATTGGTTTAATATCAACTATAGATACTGAAACCAGTTTTTTTCCCCTTTTATTTCTATATCTCTACCCGTCTACAGAATATTACGTTGTACATGTATATATCATACACATAACAAACCGGGCCCTGACGAAGCGGTATAGATGGTACAGACACCCAACAAAATGTATGAAATCTAAGAAAGCTCTATCTTGAACTTCCCAGGAAACAGCAACAACATGTCAGACTAGTCAAAATATAAGAGGGCTGCCTTTCAGCCATTTATTTTTCTGATAAGTTTTAACTCGAAAAGGGGCACAACAGAGGACCAAATGGAACCGTGTGAAATTTGAGAAAAATCCATCAAGTACCTCTCTAGAAATGACGATAGATAATCGCTGCCAAAGACCAAAATGGCCGCCGACCATCTTTTATTCCATTCAGGCTTGCAATGGATTTGCGCATCTAAAGATCATGCCTACCTACATATAAAATTTGAGAATGACCTATCGAACACTTCATCGGAAGTAGCGACAACAAGCTGTTACTGCCAAAATCCAAGATGGCCGACTGTCAGCAACTTCAAAAGGTTTTTTTTTTCCCCGGATCAGTCTCAAAATGAGACAATGCACAATTAGAGACCAACGGAAATTTACATACGGAATTTTACATTGATCCATCATCTACTTCTCAAGAATAGAGATAACAACAATTGTTTAAGGACACACATCAGACGCTGGGCAATGTGATCAGTCCTTTAGATGTCTTGTATTTGTGATTATATTTATAGTAACGGCAACCTACATACTGAAGGGGAAATACAATAGAATAGTAGAGAGTACACAGCGATTTCCCAGGTATAGTTTAACATAATTGTAGTAATATAATTGTAGAAATTAATGGTGACCTAAATACTTACCTGCATACGGAATTCACACATGACAAAGCGAGAAGAATTTATTTTGACTTTCGGATAGATATGGATGCCAATATTACTACCTGCTGTTGTCCGTCATTGAGGAAGGACAGCTCCGCCGTGGTGAAGAGGAGGGCGTGGTTCTGGGGCGTGATACGTCTCCAAAGCTGCAGCTGGAAGGAACAGTTGGCGTCCGTGGTAACAAGGAATCCCGTCAGCCATCCGGCGTTGGGTAGATCGACGCCGGAGAGAATCACGGTCTTTTGTCCGTTCAGTGTGTTGGTGGTGGCAGCGGTGATGTTGAATCCCACGTAAGCTAAAGATGTTGCAATTACGCCACAAGAAAAGACTAACTATAAAAAATCATCAGATTCATATCAAAGTCTTTACAAACTGGGTAACAGGTATTGCCGTCATCATATTAACATTGTCTTAATTATTATCTCAGCTACATTTGAACAGGGTCGCATGATTTATTTAATATCGTCCTTGATTTGAAACAAATCATTATCAATAATAGTAGGTTATCAATCAATCAACAAACGATAAATCATATATAAAATTTAAACGTATAGAGCGACCCAAACGAGGAATTGTCATCTAAGTTACAGACAGTATGAAATATTCGCGATAAAAACCAGTTGGCACTAGTCCGAATTATTATGACGTTCTATCGACTTTTTTTATACTCGATCAGGTGTCACTCCAAGTCGGTAGGACGGGAGGATAATTTGGACTACTTGCATGTTTGTTGGTTACGGGGTTTTCCGCCTCCCTGACTCTTCCTATTTCTAGGTGTTGTCTCACCAACAGACATGTCCTGGCAGCGTACAGGACTATTTGGTACCTGTTACAATGTATTCGGATTGACCGCTCTATCGATATGATTAGATTATTTACACCGAGAGAGAAGCACTTTAATTGGTCATTTTAGGTTATAACATGCCCCCCCTCCTCCTCCCCCGCCCTACAACGTAAGAAATTCGACGTCATTTTGTAACTGGCCAATTCGCAGGTGCAAGATACTCTCAAAGAAAATTATGAAATAAAAGAATATTGCTATTTGTTGTACTCTCGCAGTGTATAAGAGTTATCTGTGTTGTGGTTCAATCATAAAATTATTTGAGTCAATCCTTCACTGGTGTCTATTATATTTGAGACGATACGTGTCTATGATATGTCTATAGATGTCTATGCATATTGAAAAAAATGAACATAACACAGATATTACCTTCAGTTGTGAATTAGAGAGAATATGAACATTTTCCATACTTAAACGTCAGATATTAGTATGTAATAGACAAACCCAACAGTGTAACTGTGTATCTCCCACATTTGCTTCACAAGCACATTTGACCTTTTTGACCTTTGAATTGGATCACGACAATAAAATTGAAAATCTTTCGTCCATGCATACAAATATTACCCTAAGTCTCGTTGTTCATAAGAAGAAATTACTTGAAATTTATATCAGGGACGTATAGGATATTATGTATTATTTATTTCTCTGACTTGACTATTTTCTGTTCGGGCGAAATTAATTGAACGATTTCACTAATTTTGTCTATGTGACATTGAAAATTGTGTTCCATGTCATTTATTTGAAAAGACTTAATTAGCGTGATGTTCCTTCATCAGAACATGCAACAAGTTACTAGACCCTTTCTTGGTCCAATGGTTCTACTTTCTATCTCTCTCTCTCTTTATCTCTGTTCTTGGCCTTCAACATATTTTCGTCCATAGAAATTTGGAACAAAGTGAAAGTCGTTCAGTTTTACTGTTATTTAAAACAAAAAGCTCAACGAAAATGTTAAGGAAGATACTTACTGATATTCTGACCCAGGGAAACTGAAAAATGACAATGCATTACAAATTGACAAAAGATGGATTCACTTATGAATATCAGAGAGCTTAATTACATTCGTGTAAATGTGATGGTCTGCCTTAAAACGACTAAATGGTTAGATTTTCATTTCATAACTGATTAAAAACATTATGATATCTAAATACCTGTTAAAATTTATGCATTTTCAGTTAATTTCAATATTTAAAAGTTTACATAACCATTTTATAAAAAGTAAAAAAAATAAATAAAATAGGAGCAATCCAGCACTAATTCATAGCATTATCATTCGGAGAATGTAAACAATGTTTTTGCGCATGCAAATTTAGAAACCATGACAAAGCGATGAGTTAAAACAAGGCTCTGAAATGTCACGTGATGAACTAGACTATCTTCTACCAAAACAAGAAATTACGGTAGACAAATCACGAGTATCGACCGGTATCAGTTTCAAGCTGATCATTTTTTATATTTTTCTCATGTGCTATAATTTTGTGAATAATCTGATTTTAGATTTTACAACGCTTGTCCGAAATCCAACTCATGGACAAAAAAAATTCACGAAATCTAACCATTTAGTTTCTCTAAAATGTTAACTTATGATGTCGTTAATGTAATGTAGTGACGTCATGATGTTCAATGAAGTTGATGTAGATGCGGGTGAGAAGAAAAGCTACAGCAGCTAACTAGACTATTGGTTAAACAATGACTGTTAACTAGACTAGGTTAAACTATGCCTGTTAACTAGACTAGGTTAAATTATGACTGTTAACTAGACTAGGTTAAATTATGCCTGTTAACTAGACTAGGTTAAATTATGCCTGTTAACTAGACTAGGTTAAACTATGACTGTTAACTACACTAGATTAAACTATGCCTGTTAACTAGACTAGGTTAAATTATGCCTGTTAACTAGACTAGGTTAAACTACGCCTGTTAACTAGACTTGGTTAAATTGTGTTAACGAGGCGAAGTTAAACTATGACTTAACCAGACTCGGTACAACTATGACTTAACCAGACTAAATTACTTTGTTACCGCAGAAACTTCTATTTACAAGTATTTTATTGTGTTTATGGAATAAGTTTGATTTGTTTTGAACTAAACGTTGCGATTTTTTTCATACAACATTGTATCGGGATTTTTAGTGAAAATTTAACTTGTACTTCCTTGGCGTTTTGTAGTGTTGTTTTAGATTTGAATTATGTGGGGATATTTCAAGATGGGGATCGTATAGTGATATATGTTATTATATAAAGTCCATGTCATGTGTACTGTGGACAGATGGCGAAATTGTTCACTATCTAGCTTAATACTTTAGTTTATCATTGTTACATACCGCTGCATCCCGACAGGATCAATAGCATCAAAACCCCGAAACTGATGACGCTTTGGTGGTCAATAGCCATGCTTCTCTGAAAAAAAATGGAATTGAAACATTTGGAATATGAGTGTGGGTGGAGGTAATGCACAGCACTACGAAGGATATGTGGAAAACTGACACAGTACTGACGGATTGCAAGGCAAATTTTGTGTACTAAGGGAGGTAACTGTACGATCCTAATAAACATTTTGTCCATTATTTATATAGAAGATTTGAATATGTGACCTGATGAAATCATAAAAAATAAATAATAAAGGAGAATATTATAGCATACCTTTAACTTTAGTTGAAGTCAAAACAGGTCTTCCTTTACGCGAGATCGTTCTGTAGAACCACTCATGCGTGCGGTGTAAGAAGCAAATTGCACGCGCTTGAGCACATGTCGCAAGTTATCCGGTACTCACCCACGTGAAGTCAGGTGATATGGGCTTTTCTGAAGTCATATTGACGATGAATTCAAACGGATCCACTCAATATTAAAGCCGAGTTTTTAAAAAAAAAATAGTATATGTGCCCGCCTTATCAAAGATATTCAGAAATAAATACATACCCACTACTAACTAAAATATACATTTATATAAACATATCACTTGTCAACATGATTTGATCATGGATGTTTACTAAAATTAACTATCTTCGTCATTTTTATATCATGCAGGGCACCAAAACATGGTGTTTCGCCATTGAGACACAGTAATCATCTTCCTTCTGTCACTCCTGAAGCAAAGTATCACATACATTACATCATTTGACAGTGGATTTTTAACTTGTTACCGATATCCGTTGTCAAAATTCACAGAATACATCTTGCCCTGCAGAACCACATCTCGCGCGGGGCAAAATAACGATGAACAACATGGAGAAAAACACGATTGAAGTCATATTTGTGCTACTTTGCGACACATTCTCCATTCGTTCGTTCTAATGCTTCGGAACCACAATGCTGTTAAGAGGGGAGAAAAGGCAACGATTACCCATGATTTTTCGCGATGAAATAACGAATAGACCAAATGACACCAATGGTATCGTGTTCGTCAAAGTAACCAGTATTAATTACATAACACCTTGAAACGTATATGGTTCATAAAAAAACTCAGAGAAAATATTCTTGCAGGTAAAGTCATCTTCGGTTAATTAGTTTGTGCTATGTATGTACGTTTTGGTCTTCCGTCATGTATCACTAGCTTGCATCAGGCTATCGATACACTGAATGAGTGTGGCACGAGGCACTTTACTAATGCGTTTCGCTTATATCAACAAAATGGGAATCTGTAAGATTAATTTACCGCGACACGTCTCGGCCCAACAGCACCTCTGCGCTGAATCGAATATCTAACTTCCTTTTCCGCCTTGGGTTGATGCCGGTTAGCAAGGTAAAGTTTGCTGGACATATCTCCCATCCTTCTTGACGGAATAGTTGACATAATATCCTAATTTCATTCGAGTGGAAGTTATTTGTAATGCCATTTATCATTGTAGTCTTGCTTTCCTCGCGATCGTGTAAATTGTATGGTAGACCAACAGAGAATTTTGAAGTCTTTAGTGTACAATGCTGTTTGCATACGTGGCCATCCGGTGACAACTATGTGTAGAATCCAGTCTGATAGTAACGTAGAGATATTATGGTGAATTATAATAAGATATGTCGAACAGTATATACATACGGACTGCGTTGATTATTCCAAAATAAGACATTCAATCCTACTCTCTGTATTCAAAGTCATATTCCGAATATGCTCTCAGCTCAGGCGTGACGTGAATTCATTAATCCATGCACACCAATATCTAGACCTGACGAAAAGTTTGACAGTAATGGAAATTTATCTCTTCGGCTTTATTTACATTGCAGAAAAAACTTCAATAATGTGTCTATCATTTACATGTTTTCTTGTCTATATTTCAGATGAAGATTTGGTTGACTTTGTTCGCTGCTTTGTGCTTAGTCTTGTGTTGTAATGGTGATAATGCTCGACTGCTAGCATCTAAAAACATTTTGAACCAATATCTGGTTGAAGGCAGGGATCTTACTGTGCAGTACAGCATTTACAATACCGGAGGAAGGTAAACAAAAGGCATTTAAGGATTTGAATATTTTCAAGAAAATACTGATCCCATATTGGACATAGTAAAATATGACATTGTAGATAGCAAAGCTTGTTACAAAAATGCTGATAAAAATGTCAATATTGCTCTATTGCTTTTATCCTTATTTTGGTAACTGGTGATTCTGATCACCTCAGGCTGATGATGTAATATTATATTGACACCAAAAGTTTGTCATTTATGTTATGAGTTGTGACAAAGTCAAGGACATTAACACTCTTTGGCCTAACAGTGATCAATACGCAATTTATTTTAATGAATCCTCTTAAACTTTATTGCTGAAAATAATGACCCCAGAATGAAAAAAAGTGAAGTTTTTCCAGGAGTCCCATCAAAATTCTATGAATACAAGACTTAGGACTCACATGTAGATTTATCACTGTATAAGATTCCAATGTTCCTGCTAACCTGGCCATGGCAACTTTTTTGTTTTTTCTTGCTTTGTTAGTTTTTGTTGACAAATTTTGAGAAAGGTCTGTTTAGAAAAATCTTTTTAGAAAATTATAAAAGAAAAATTCAACTGGTGTACTTAAGCTTTTTCTGGTATATGAACAGAACAGCATGTATCATTTTTCGAGGCCTTAAGCTTCTGAGCTGATATTGTGTGTTTTTATTTTTTAAGTGCTGCTCTGGATGTCAATCTGAAGGATGATGGGTTTCCAGAGGCTGATTTTGAGGTTGTTCGAGGAAACCTTAATGTGCGCTGGGAGAGAATTGCTCTGTATCCTTTCACAAGTGCTTTGAATTGAATAAATAACATGAAGATTTTAAAAAGTGTTAGGAAATGATCAAATTTTATGAAATAAAATGTATGTACTACATTTGGGAAAAACAGTTTTTGACCACAATTCAGATTGTTTTGCCTTGTATAGTAGGTACACTTTTTGTCTTGGGTTTAAGACACAAATGTATAGAAAAGATGGTTGGGGTTAGGTAATTAGACAATGTGTCAAATGCTTCAAAAGTACATGTGTAAAACAAAAACCCACCCAACCCCCCAAAAAATATTGACATAACATTGCAATATGTTTGTGATGACTTTACATCTATAATTAGGAGTCAGAAGTTGTAGTGTGCAAAATTAAAGAGTGATTTAAGAATTTCCAAAAAGTTGCAAACTAAAACGTGTTCAGGATAGATTGCTTGATTTTCTTTTATTTACTTCAGCAAAACTATATTTGGCTAAATTGGATTGTAGAGTTATTTGAACTAAGAAAATGGTGATATTTCTTTAACTTAAGCATAGTGGCACCAATGTGACACATTCCGTCGTCCTTAGACCTCTCCAATATGGCTACTTTAACTTCACATCTGGTGAAGTCAGCTACAAGGACTCTGAAGATGCCACTGAGGCTGTGGTAGGTATTCCCATGTCAACAATTAATTAAGTCAAATATTGTAGCAGCTAGTCTTTAGGATGGAGAGATAGAGTATCAAGTTCTTTAGATACAGGTACATTGTAGTAGATAGAAACATTTCTGGTTTTTTTTATAAATATGACTAAGTTTTCGAAATGATTTTAATTCTTTGCAAGACAGTAAACAGATTCTCATGAATGATGATGAAGAATACCAGAAATGTTGTTGGAACATTTTTATACATGTAATTTATCATAAACTTTATATAGAGCTTCATATCATATACTGTAATACATATATATGTGTATATATATATCATATATGTATTATCATAGTGATGTAAACACGATTTAAAAAAAAGAAATTATTTAATTTACAGTTTGGATATACCAGTGCACCTGGAGAGGGTGGCATTGTTAACAGCAAAGAATATGACAGACGGTTTTCCCCTCATGTTGTAAGTTTCTATGTAAAAATTTTCATATTGTTTGTGTGCTTGGATGCAAATACTGTTGATTAATCAACCATGAAGAGCATAGCATGGACAATTGTACTCTTTATTTAAAACTGACTTCAGTTCCAAGTCAATATTATATCTTGAGAACTTCTCAGCAGATTTGGGGTTGTTTATCCATTATATTTTTTCATGATTGGGACATTGGTTCATTACCTTAACAAATACATATTGTAATTGTACGTCCCCCAAAAATCTCCCCAAGTCATTTATGTACATAGTGTTAAAGGGACCAAATGGTTAGAGATATTCATTTCATAACTGATAACATTTAAATATCTGTTCAAAATTGTGTACTTTCTTCTAATTTTGTTAAAGTTTGCATAACCATTTTATTAACAATGTCAAAAAATTGAAATAAAATAGGAGTGACCCAACACTTTAAGCATGCAATTGTAGATTCAGATTAATTCAAATTCATTTATTTCGCGTTGTCATACGTAAAGCGTGAAACAAGAGGTCATTTTACAAAGTAAAAATTGAAACATGGTTGGCAAATGAAGTTTTGGCTAATAACATAATTATACATAGTAATAAATCATATCAAAGCAGCAAGTTAAAACAAGGCTCTGAAAGGTCAAATGATGAACTATCCAGGATCAAAACAGCGATGGGTGGTAAACACAACAACAAGTGTCGACTAGCATTAATTTGAAGCTGATAATATTTATAAATCAATTTCGGAGAGTGTTATAATTTTGGAAAGAGTAATTTTAAGTATTACAATCTTGCCTGAAATCAAGCGCATGGCAAAAAATAACAAAATCTGACCATGTAGTCCCTTTAAATTAAGATTAATACAAACTAAGGTAAAAATTTAACAATATTTGAATTATTAGGGCAGTTGTTTTGTCCAATAAGAAAAGAACATCACCAATGTGTTGGCTGTGTCAGACTAGGCATTTGTAATGATTTTCATCAAAACCGAACAATATGTAAATTTCAAACAATCAGAAGCTCCCCTCAGTGGCCATTATGCTAAGTCAGAAAATGAACTCCATCAATTTCAACCAATAAAACGGCTTTATGTTGTGGCCGTCTTGTCTAATCAGAAAACGGATGGTGCCATCCATTCTTATGTGAAACCACATCTACATACCCACTACATTTATGAAAATCAGACAATTTCTAAATTTTGGTCAAAGTTTGACCAATCAGGGGTCATGGTTGAATGGTCAGATGAACTGGAAAATGAAGAAGCTCCTGCACACTACCTCACTTGTGCAAAGTTTCATTAAAATCCATTCTGTAGTTTTTGAGAAATGTGTTGGAAACCTTGACGATGGAAGAAATAAGAAAACAAAATGGAGCAAAAAGAATATATCCCCCACTTTGATAATAAGTTGTGTAATAGTAAGTTTAAGTATCTATTTTTTAAATGGAAGCATTAACATTCAGCCATTGTGATACATTTCTGTATAATTTTTATGCCAAATTGATAATCCCTAACCTTATTGCTTCTCTTTTCAGCTGGACTGGTGTGTATTTGCTGTAATGACACTTCCATCCCTGGTCATTCCATTCCTCCTATTTTACAGGAGTAAAAGTCGATACGATCAGCCCAAGGCGAAGAAAAACTAAATTATATTCATCGTATTTCATTTTCATGTTTTTTAATAAAAAAAAATCATTTATTTATTCTCTCATGGCATTATCTTTACGAGAGCAGAGCATAACAATTTGTAAAATTTTACAACATATAAATGATAATTAATGTTTCTGATAAGTCTCATGAAGATGAACAATTTGTGGATGCCAATCAACCAACAGGCATATCTCTACAGTTGTCAACATAATTTGAAAACTATTCTTGAAAATTTGCTGAAGTAATTTGAAGTAACTTCATCAGATGTACAAGCCATATTTTTCTTGTAACAAGCTCATGATCAGGGAGACAAGACATACAACACATCATATTAAGCTGTTAATCTGAACCTGCCAAGAATTGAAGTATTTTAACAATAACAAATCACAGGAATATAAATAAGGGCAAAACATGAACAATAAGACTCCAGAACAAATACAGGAAAAAGACCAGGTTTTCAGAAAGGGATTAACACATTAATCTTGGTCAATCCAAGTAAGTAATGTCACATTCCCAAAATAAGAACAAGGATAGTAACAGAACCATCAAGTATATGTGAGAACATCAGCTATGTCCACCTTAATGTCGCGCAAGTAGAACATGATCTTGATAGAGATCACAATCATAACCCTTATCAACTCGCATCTCTCGCCCTCCTTTGTTGAATATCATTTGCCAACATCTTGCATGGAAGTCATGATATTGGCAACAAACCCTGGAATACTTGATCATCTGCTATATGTAAACACAATAGATTAGGGCTGCAGGGATTTTGATATCCTGAATTGAAAATTCGCAATAATAGAGCATTTTGAGTCATCATGCTTATCATACAGCTTGGAAGAAAGCTGTCCATGTTGTCCTTTATTTCCAATTTTGGTTGGTATAAACATTGAACATAGTCAATCGACCTCTTGTTAGTTAAAGACAAGACATCATCAGTACATCTGAAAGTTTGGTCCCATAGGTATGCCAGTAGTCTGTCAGAAGGTCTTGACACCAAACTTGAGAAAGATTCTGTCAACCTCGTACTTTTATTGTTCAGACTGGAGGAGGGAAAGTGTAATTTGGAATGATCAAAGACTGGAAATATTTAGAAATAACAAGAAATAACACCAAACATGAGCTTCAACATTTTAATGCGTAGCTTTTCCCTGATTACTTGTATCTGAATGCACCACTTTGACAGAGACAATGATGTAGTAAAATGTTCGATTTTCTTTACAACTTGAATGCAGCTACAGTGCTATATACAATTAAATGTTTATCATGTCAATATCACCCTATATTCATCCTTTTGTAAAAACCAACTTGTCAGAAATATTTTCAACAAGAACAATTCAGATTTTACACTAAGTTATATAAAAATTATAAAAATAGTCAATAATTTAAAAATGCATATTATGACATTAAAACAGAAGCGATTTAAATACTTGAATATTTGAATTTAATTAGGGTTTCTAGGACTATCAACATACAAGGTGATTTGAAAAAAAAATCTTTTCCATTCAAATGAGATTACCATGTATTGGTAGTTTGACAATTAAAAATGACCTGTGAAAGGTAAACAAATACATTCCAAGGAAAAAATGATTGTAAAATGTGTACAGCACAAAGTTCAGCACATATATGCACATACATATATATATCCCTTTAAACATGAACATTTACAATTCATCAAACATAGAGACTGGTATAATATGTGTAAGTGCAATGTGTAAGGAATTATATTAAAACCATATTAGGCTGATCAAGAAACAACTTATATTTATTTATCCTTCTATAAGCCCATATCTCTTTAAAAGTTACTCAATCTTTTCCTATAGAAATACAAACCAATATTTTATCTCTATCTATCCAACTCGTACTATTAAGTTTTTTGTCCATGTTGGGGTTATTACTGAATGAAAAGGATAGAAAAAACTTTCATGTACTCAACAATTATGATGTTTTGAAAGAAGTAAATAACATTTCAAAATCAGACATCAAGCCTCGGTCACAGGCTAATTAGAGTTAACCAGTTGTTAGAGAAAAATTCTACTTTTGTCACTTAAGGGACCAGAGATTAACTGGCAATAAATAATGTTCCCAATTCAGTTTGATTTGTCTTTGAAAATTGTAACAAACCATTAGCTATCTCTAACAAGCCTCTAAACAACCAGGGCCAAATGCATATCAATAGGCAAAAATCCATTTCAAACATACAACAAACATAACAAAATCTTGTAATTTACTATTTCCAAGCAACTTTTGGAGCACATCTTGCAGGCAAACCTGAGCAATAATTCCAGGTAATATAAATTTGATAAATAAATAAATGTAAATGATCTGATACTACAAGAAATAAATGAGGATTTCTTCCCATCTGGTTTGTTAAGTCAATATTGTAATATTGTTCTCTCTTTGTAAATTTTGTCTAAGTGGAGCATGTGTGGTGTAAAACAGTCAATAAAAATAATACAATTTGGCCAAATTATCATTTAACCCGTGATGCTTTCAGAATACATGAAGCACTGTATAGCAAACATCTAAGGTAGGCACATGACAATTTGAAACTGATTGTAGAATAATGATTCAGGTGTATCATATAGAACAGAAAGATTTGTAAACTGGTTATTAATAGGAATACTATGGATGTCAGTTTTGCTAGGACATTGGTCAGTGATGACAATGTAGCAAGGTACTTCTTGACCATACCAAGGAAAGTATATTACTGATTACAATTTTCAATACCATCAAAAAAAAAAATTGATACTTGACGTTTGTTTTCACCATGCACAGGAAATAATAAGAAAATGGCTTATTAAATATGTCTCAATTTCATAAAGGAATGGTACAATGATCATATAGCAGAGTTATTACAGATACCCAGGTACAGAAGGTGTATATTTGAGTTGTTGTGGAAATTCAAAGATTCAAGATTCTAACACTTCAAAGAGGGTCTTATGGCAATCAAAAGCATGAATACTCACTAATGTGAAGTGATGAAATATTATATTACACACAGAATTTAATCTTTTATTTCTAAAAAGGGTACTATATATCAATAATGATTCATGTGGGATTTACTTTCGCTTTAATACGCTAGGGAAACCAACAAAAGCATTTGTGATTATTTGTACAAGAATTACTCTGGATGGCATCTATGTTGATCCGGTTACAGATATCAGAGTGTTGAAGAGTCCAGGTCTCTAACAGCTCCTCATTTACAGATTTGAAGTCATTTCCAGGTCAGTATTTAGGAAATCATGCATTTGCAAATATGTCTGAAGTGGTAAGTTTGAAACAGTGTGTTCGCAAATCTAGGTAATTTACAGGAGTTAGTAAAATGTTGCTGTTTAAATCAATCAGATACCTGGGTGGTAAGAGGATTACATTAGAATATTGTATATGTTCTTTATTATTTCACTAAGACAGTATCAGCAACATACAATATGTGGCATATGAAGCACTCTGTGATAAATCTTAAACAATGGGCTACATACATATATATAACGTATGATGGTTACATTTCATCTGGTGTAGATGACATTAACATGATGAACTGGACAACCTTCACAGAAGAAGCCCTCTATTTGTTCTTTATTACTCTTCACAAAAGAAGATATCTATGCCATATTTGTTTGGCATTGCACAGAAAAGACTGAATGCTGAAAAAAAATCCTGATGTAAGTTAATGCTGTATGACTGATATTCTACAACGATACATATGATGCTTTCATAAAATATAAATTTGTTATCTGTTCCTGTACACATATATCAAAACAGAAAGACATGGACTACAATGGATGACATGGTGAAACCTTATAATTTCAACCCAGATATATTCTGATTCTTGTCTTATAATTAACATACTGCTGTCACCCAATTTCTATTTAAAATATAATCATATTCCATACTGGAAAACTAGATCAGCATCACAGTGTATCCCTGGTCTATTTAAAGGAAAAGTTACCTTGACTATAGCAAATTGATTAACATACAGCAGCAAATCTTAAAATGAAAAACTTGCTTTTTGTTGACTTTGAGAAATCAATTTATCCTCCTGAAAACAAATGTGGACAAAGGAAGAACAAAATATCAAACAACATATCAAAGGAAACAAGGTACATTAGGATTCTCCCAGAATGTTAGCTCTAGTTTGTTTCATTTTTTGAAGCCAAGCAGTAAGATTTTCACTGTCCAATGAACCTCCACTAACTGGCATGCTAAATTTAGGAAGTATAGAACTTCCACTGACAGGCAAGCTGCTTGATGCTTGCTCAGAAGTCCTTGACAAAGCTGGAGATTTTCTTGGGGTGCCCCCTTCTAGCTTGAAGCCACCTTTAAGTGGAACAAATGAATCATCTAAATCATCCACTAACTCTAATTCTTGTCCTTCTAGTGAAAGAATATCATCCTCTGCACCCGCATCTTCATTGATGTCTGCTGACCACTGCCCAGTGGAGGGTAACTCCATGTCAGCTAGCCAGGGACTAGTCTGTAGGTGAAGCGAATTATCTATGACTGGCTGATGAGGCGTTAGAGATATCAAGATATCATTATCATCTTTTATGTCAGTCAAAGGGAAATTGGGCTTGGCATGCACTTTATCACCAAGGCTTCCAGTATGTACACTATCCAGACTTGTAACTCCTGGGATAAGGTCAACCTTAGGTGATTTCCCTTGAATGTCAAAAAGGCCTTGCATTCCATCCGTGATGTCATCAATAGACATGTTTGGGAGTTGGATGTCCTCTAGTTGCTCCTCATCCATTTCACCTAGACTTTCAAACATAGTGAAGGTCCCATCTCCTCCACCTCCTAGGTCGGTTCTAGTTCCTATAAATACAAAAAGTTATTAACAAGTTGCAATATATCTCAATAAACCTACACAATACCAATTCTAATAATATGAAGAATATTAGGTATCTTTATTGAAAAATAAATCTCTATTTCAGTGCTGAGTCTATGGTATCTGATGGCGTTCTAGTAAGGAGATATTAGTTTGACACTGACTTTATCACCTGTATTCAATCATTACCTGTTGTCTGAGTTTGACTTTATCACCTGTATTCAATCATCACTTGTTTTTCTGACTGACTTTATCAACTGTACTTATCATTACGTGTTTGTCTGACTTTGACATTCTTACCTGTGAAGGAGTGATTGGTTGTGTTTCCTGATTTAGATTTTGGTGTATCTGTGTCCTGCATGGCCTCCTTGAACATGCCCCTGACCTCCATTGACAAAGGACTGGCCAACATCATCATAGGCATTGGTTCTGGCTGGTCAGCCTCTGGTAGGATGTCACACACTAGTGTTAAACAAGCACAACATTTAACATACTGCAAATAATTACCATGTTCATTTTTTCTACCCCCAACCACCTCTTCCTTTTTTTTTAAAAAAAAGTATCCATCACTAGAAAATAAATTCTGAAAAATTGAAATACAAAGTATGCCATACTTCAACAAACTCAGCATATTCAAATATAACCTTTTTAATATGTAGTCTTTTCTTCAAGATTCTTCTAGTAATTCCTACCAGAGAACAAGAATATAGACACAGTTCAACAGGAATCAGTATAAGTTATGTACAATGAATAATAAACAAATTGAAATTACACAGTAGCAGAGACTAGGTGATCATTAAAAACTAAAAAGAAAAAAATCTAGTCACTCTTTTATAGTCTTTTCCATACACTTGAAGACACACAAGTGAAATCACCTTTCATTACATTGATGGTATATCATATCAGATTCAAACTTAAGAGTTTGATAGCAACAGGAATTAGAAATTGTAACATTAATATGAAAAAACATAATCAGCTCTCCTTCCGGGTATTAAGTGTGAAATGAACTTGATACCTCCTAAAAAAACTGACGTCACTAGACAATACAGCAAAATACAACTGGAGGATGTATATATAATAGAAACTTTAGAGGTCACTGACCTTCCATGCGCGACTTCATTAAAGCCCTAGCAGATGTTGGACAAGAATTGTCAGATTGATTCAAGTCATCTGCTTCTTGAGACTCAAGGTCTAGTCTTAAGGAGGATGTCGGTCCATTACTGATGGGTAGAGAATGGTCAGAATGATACTGAGGAAGTCCAGAGTGAACAGATTCTTTGTCACTCCTATCTGATGGCAGGAACTCTGGCTGCTCAAGCTCAAAGGAAGAATCATGGAGATTCTGAAGGGTGTGTTTTGAAGTATCCAGCTCAACAGATTTACCCAACAGATCAGATGTCATTGATCTTAACTTTGAAGTATCCAGTCCGCCAGAATGGCCAGATTGAAGGCTATTATTGGGAGATTGGTTATCTCCTCCTAGTAAGCCTGAAGGCCGGGACAAGCTAGAGCTGATGGAGTGGACACTTCCTTGCATGGAGGCCTGAGAGTGGACACTTCCTTTCATGGAGGAGTGATGAGAGTGGTGTGAATCTTCTGATCTGGTTGAGTTGTCCAAATTCTGTGATCTTGCTAAAGAATGGTGTGGGGATCCTTTTCCTGTCAAACTTTCCAAAAGTGACTGAGAAGTGTGAGACTTTGGAGACTCATGACAGGAGTTTGATGGATGCAATGCTGGTGACTTTGGAGAGTTCTGTGAGCTTAAATGATTGAACTCTGGTAACAGTGGAGATCTCCTTGACTTCAAATTCTCTGAGCTAAATGAAAGGGAATCATCCTTGGAATTGGATAGCTTGCCTTTCGCATGCCTCGGAGAGTCTTGTAGACTTGCAGATTGATGTGATCGGTTAGTCTCTGAATGACTTGGAGATATCACAGGCTCTGGGAATATTTCTACACCTAATGGCAACAACACTTCTCCACTTGACTCTCCAGGCTTTTTAACGCATGTAATGATAAAATCTTCTGAAAAGAAAAAAACAGGTCTTCATCATTATCAAAATTGCTTTGAATGTTTTGTGTTAAAATGTACTGCTAATTGCAGTCCATGACCTAACATTACAAAAAAACATCTTTTTTGTTGAAGAATAAAAGTATTTCCATAAAATGTATTTGAAAAAGTTTCAATACGGTAAGCTAGAAGCAAGTATTAATCATATGGTCCCAACGAAGTTTTTCATTTTGTGATAAAATGATAGGGAAAACATTTGGAATTTGTGATAAGCCATGAAAGTTCATCACTGATCACAGATCACTGATCAAGTGACTGAGGGTAAGAAACAAGTAACAAGTATAAACAAAATTTGGTCAAAATCTGGCAATATCTAAACTTCAATGAATCAGAGGCCACCATTTACCTTAGCATGGTTTTCATGGCGATGAATTGCATATTGTGATATTTGGCTTCCCCTTATACCCTATATATAAGTTTGGTTGAAATCAGATAATACCTAAATTTTGACCAATCAAAGGGCCATGAGCATGTTGCTATAGCTACTGTTTCTGAAATAGTTAAAGTATCTGACTAAAAGTTTTGATTAGTAATGCTATTTGACCATACTCAATAATAAAATCTGTTGAATGACCAAGGAGTATTGGTCAGCTAGCTACCATGGTAACCAAAGTTTTGGAAAAAAAGATTGCATGTACATGCCCATATGGTTCTTTATATTAATATGAAGTTTCACTTGAATCAGTTTACAGGTTTGGGGGGGTGGGGGAGTTCTCTGAACAATATTATATTTGCGTATGACATACAGACAGACACACTTAGTTGTGGGTTTAAAAAAAATTTGTATAATTGCTTACCATATTGTATTGTAAGACATTTCTTTCTTGAAGTTAGTGTTCATAACATAGTATCAATATAATTCATCTCTCACCCTCATCAGACTGATCTATGAAGTTGGGAGCCATCATTCTGTTGACAATGACATCACTTGGAGAGAGAGCTTCTGTGACTGGTGACCTCTGAATCTGGGTGGGTGGTGTCCTGGGGGAAGGGTGTTTCGGGGAAGTATTGTCTAAAGTGGGACTGCCTCCTGTACAGCTTGTGATGCCAGTCAGAGTACGATCTCCACTACTGAGGGACTGTTCTCGAGATGATGATGTAGCACTCTGGTACGAATTCTCATTGCCTGCTGATGCAAGCCAAACATATAAAACAACAGAATATTTTCATGACACAATTCACATAATGAATTTTAAACACGTTTCTTAAATATTTAGTTGAACAAGTATACTGAGTATTGCTGAAGCAAGATAAGCAAGCTTTCGGAAGATTGTTTTGGACTGGGAGCATTCCTTATAATAGATGTGCATTCTGATCAAAATCAAGCCATGTTTCTGCCATGAGGTAATAGTTCTGCATAAAATGTGTTATATGAATTACATTTATATATGTAGGAGTTGACTATAGGTATATGGTATTTTAATATGAGTGTACATTAATTTTGTACCAACCTCATTCAACATATCAAATATAAAGTGTAAACATTGCAAAAGGTGCCCTTTTCACCGTGATTCATTTTAATAGTACCATGGTACATGTGAAGGTACAATGAGGAATGATTGACACCAAGTTTAACTCATATATATAATAACTTAACATATTGGTCAACAAAGACCAATATAGTTATTATTTTAGTCCCTTTTCAGAACTATTGATAGTACATTTGGATATTGACTTGAAAGATAAAGAGACAATGGCTTATTGAAAGTTAATACATTGTTAGGCTGAACTTGTTGATGTGACAGTTTGATTTTTTTCATGTTCTATGAGAACAACCTTTGCCATCAAATATTATTTAAGTATACTGTTCAGGCTTTTTCTGCATTATAGATAACAATGTTTTCTGAAATTATCAACAACCTACAATAAATCCCTATAACTTGAACCTTTATTCCTCGAATAATCCTTATTTGCCTAACTGATTGCTTGGTCCAAACCGTGTCCTTACATATTTCTTGTTATTTAACTTCGGATTCTTCTAACCATTATCCCTTAAAATATCCGGCATTTATTTTTATCCTTGTTACTTCATGTTCACAATATTCTTTCTATTCATTGTCATATTAGCCAAAATTTACCTGTATAATGTACAACTCAATCCAACTTTAGGGCAATAGTTCTGATCACTCCCAAGATGAGAGTATGGCAGATATATCCGACCTATAAGCAGTTTCAAAGTGTTTTTCCTTGTGATTTGATGACTGTATGTATTGATTATTCAACAAATATGTATCATATATATAAAACGGTGAAAATCTTCACAGCAATGTGTTTTTCATACACTAAGCATTAGAAACCATTATCCATCGTGGTTTGCAGACACAGATGGTTGGAACACTCTATGATTAACCTCTGATAACTCAAATAGCATGTATTTCGACATGATCTGAAGGAGTTCAGCTCAGCAGGGTTGTACTGTATATGTACATCTTAAAATGATCAAATAATCACGTAACTATACTGTGCATTACCCCTTAAAAAAAAATTTCTACAGGCTTTCTTCAAATCAAAAAATTTGCATCATTAACTTGCCAAGATTTCAATTCTATTCAAGTTTTAGCTGATGTTAGAACACATACTGAAGCTAATTCTTAAGTAAATCAAAATGATTGACAAAACTTATATCATACATATTGTAACAAAATGAGTAAAAAATGGATTTAATGGTAACTTTGGAATGGTGTGTATCGTAGAGAGCAGTATCTTAGTTTAAAGTACATCTGGTCAAAAGTCAGTCAATGCTGGACCGAGGTAAAAATCCTGTGAGTGATAGGTAGTGATAACGGGCGGGGTGTGTACCCCAGTGTTGAAGCACCGTGGCAGAATATCGCCAGTATGATTGATCAGGACAGATAGATGCTCTCTTTTGTATGTCTCACTTTGGCGAATGTATTTGTAAGTAAACAAGATAAGAAACAATGTATAAGGTAGATCAAAGATGGGAAGTTGATAACGGGTACTCCTAGTCGCACGTGCCTTCATAATTAGATGCTCCGGGGGCTGGGTTATTGTTGTCCAATAGGGACTAAGCTGAAATGAAGTATTTGGGTATTATTTATACTAAGACAATAGTCAGCAGAAGTTAGTTGAGTCTGGGATCGAGTAGCTAGAGAAAGTCGGGAGTCGGACATGGAGAAGGGCAGAGTCCCATATGGGACCTGCTCCGCGATGGAGCGGGCCCTGGCCAAGTTAGCCCATGGACATTTGTATGGAACTCTTTGATATGGACGGGCAGGTGTTTATTTTTTGTCTGCCTTACACAGGTATTTATTTTTGGTGCCACAACATGCTGCTGTATGTTGATTAGGAACTAACTTTTGTAATGGATATTGATGCGAAGTACTACCTATGGAAAACCACTATACGATGAAATAAACGTTTTGGTATCATAAGTTTGTATATTTCCTGTGATAGCCTGGTTTTGAAAATGTTAAAAAAATGTATTCTAATACAAATTTGATGAAAATCAATGAATAATGCTTCATGAAGGTAAAAAAATAAGGATTTCTTGTGGTACAAAAACATGTTATTAATTCATGTTTTGACATATGGTCACTTAACAGAATGTGTAGGTCCTTTGGACCTTTTCAATCTAAAAGATAAAAGCTCAAGTGTTTATTTTGTATTGCCATTTACAGTACTATTATCATGCAAAGTTTGAAAGAAGTCCAGGTGTGCATGATTTCAATGGGAAATTTAACATCAACTAGAACCCGATCTTTTTTAACGACCAAGGAATGAAAATTTTTATCATACTGACTTGTTGTAGAAGGTGGAGAGTACAGACATACCTGTATGTGTGGGGAAAACAGCAGTGTAGGATTTACTGTTGGTTGGGGTAGATTGTCGTTGGACAGGAGGATTCCTTGCTTTTGTCCCCTTATTCTGTAATTTACTGACTTTTCTTGGAACCTTAGTACTTGGAACCCTGCAATCAAAATTTTAAACTTGATATTACAAAAGTCAATCAAAATAATAAAAATTCATACTATAAAGGTTTAATGATGTAACACATGTACCCAAAATTTTTCTTTGCTAACATTTAATACTCAACATTGATACTTGCCATCATTTAGTATCCAACATTGATATTTGCTATCAATTAGTCCCAAACATAGACATTTGCCTATCATTTAATACCTAAAATGGCCATTTACTATAATTTTGTACCAAACATAAATATTTGCCAGTTATTTAGCAATTAATATTTAGTACCCAACATTGATATTTGCTATCAATTAGTCCCAAACATAAACATTTGCCAATCATTTAATACCTAAAATTGCCATTTGCTATAATTTTGTACCAAACATCAATATTTGCCAGTAATTTAGTACACAACATTGATGTTTGCCTATTATTAAGTACATACTTCAATATTTGCTTTCAAATCCTATAAAAGATAATTTGAGTATGTTCTGTCTTTTACATCATTTATATGAAATCAGAAGAAACAAAGTTTAGAGGAAGACCCATCATCAACCTACTTCTTTTTAGTGTTTGAGGAGTTGATGTTGACTTGAGGAACATACTCAGGAGAGCCTTGGAACAGTTTTCCTTTAACTCGTCTTGCAGTCTTCAATACACCTTCAGCTAACTTACTTGCAGCTTCTGGAGTTGTTTCTGCAGTTTGTGACAAAACATTCACAATTTTTTCTCAAATAGAAGTTTGCAATTGTTTGTGAGCAAACAAATATAAGATCATACTGCACATAGAAATACAGATATATCAGAGTAAAATATATACATGACAAACCAAAATCAATGCTTGCATGAAAGATTTAATATAAGACCAGACCACAATAAAGATGACTGTTTTTCTAGTTTACACAAAATCTTCCACAGACCATCTTGAGAAATGTAATTTTCTGACTTATGACTCAAGTTATCCGTGAAAGATTACAACATATTATGACAAACCATTTTGGGGAGTGCGACGTAAAGCAGATGGTTCAGGCATGTCCCCAGTTGTAGCTTGCCCAGGGGTAAAGGATACTGAGGGTGATGGCTCTAACAATCCCAAGCCAAGTGACTGTATAAAGAAAACATCCCACTGCAGTATTCACAGCATATATCAAAGATTATATTAAAGATTGGAATTCCTTTCTACAATGAGTCTGGTCAGAAGCATTTCAATATTATCATCAATAAGTATGTAATGTACAAGATTATGATAGATACTGTTGACCAGATGTATGATGATAGCCTTGTGTCACTAGCTGAGCTATTATGTGAATGAAATTTAGATGTCATCAATCCACTACCTTGATCTGACCTCGGGTTAAAAGTCACAAGTGGCAGAGCTACCATGCGACGTGTCATGACATTGACATAGGAGACAAGTGGGTTAAGGTCATGACACATTCTTTTATTATGATTTAGGAAGATTAAGATTCACATACTGTTGACCGTTCACTGCGTGGAGTGCTGTTCTGGATAGTGTGACTATCCAGACTTTCCCGGAGATGCTCTACAGACTCCTTCAGTTTTGGCAGGTTGTTTGCCAGTTCCTTCTTCAGAGTCCTTGTATTTGTCAGGTAAGCATGGTTAGTATGGACCTGTTTGGTGACAGATCCTATTTCCTCTGTAAAGTCTGGTACACCTACTGCAAACACATCATACAGGGTAATCCACACATAATCTAAAATTAACTTTTCTTTATTCATTAATTAAGGGAACAGAAATGCCCTGAATTTGACAAATTAGCAAGAACATATTGATATGCTAAATATGCTTGAGTAATTGGATTCTACAAAAACCCTAATTTAGATGTATATGTACAACATATATCATGCATGGGGTTTCTAATTGGTAAATATACAAAAATCTTAAACCTTTACGTTTACAGATATTTCTAACATATTCTTGATTTCATCAGTTTTGGCCTTATTACCTACTAGAGTGATCAGTAATAATTAATTGATAAAGTCCTCTGTATGTTATCACTGTTAATCCTTACCTTGGTGTAGTCGTTCTATGTATAAGTGAAGACAAAGATTCCATAACTGAAGAAGACTGACTAGGTTCAGCTTGCCTCCATGAAATGTGTTGTCTACATGTCGCTGTAACAGTTACAATAGAAGCTTCCTAGTAGATTTCTACAGGGCTGTTTTAACAGTATTGAACTTGTGACATCACAGATGTGTGTTACGAATAGAGAGGTGATCGCCGCTGATTAAAAGGTGTGCATTTCAGATAAATCACAATATCTGGGAAACTGAATAAATCATGATGTTTGCACTCTCTTCACACTTTAATGTATAATATAAAGTATTTTAAAGCTATATGTAGAGAAATGTTTTTGTTACACTTTTAAATCTGTCAACGATTCCATGACATTTTATTGCAATTTTTTCAAAGCAGTCAGCTGTGAAATTTTACAGTTTCATATCAACAAATGACTACCAATTAATATGAGACATAAATCTTAGAGGAACATTAAATCAAATTTCATTTCATATTAGTACAAGCTTTAAGCACTTTGGCAATGACCCTTGTTATGGTTGGAGAGTATTGACGTGAAGGCGGATCAAACAGCATGATATTTTCACAAGATACACTAGATAGATTTCTGGTAGTGATTGACAGACAGCTCTCCCCTACAGTTTACTTGAAAGGTTTGACTTTTCGTTGGTACCAACTTACCCGCCGGATTTCTTGCTCACATTCTCTAAGAAGGAGGTCAGGAACCTTGATGTTAATGGAAGCAGCATCAATTTTATGTTGACTCATGGTTCGGTCTACAATGGATTCTATCACTTCTCTCTCTGCAGCCTCACGCTCACAGAAATCATTGACCTGCTTCCACATGTCACGTACCTAGAAGATGATTTCAGTTCATTTGTATCATTTTTAATAGTAAACAGCGAATATTTATAATAACAGAACTAGTTACTTCTTCAGACAGATTTTGTTTAAGTTATAGATCCTTTCACATCAGTTGTGAAGTAGTAAACTAGTTAGCATGCAGTGTCAATATCAAAGTTTTAATAACACTACCATCCAGAACAACTAAGGTTCAAATAAAACTGGTCAGTAAAAAGAGATATAACTGTACATCAACAGGCAAAACCAGATTGGTATACATTATACACTGCTATAAACTTACCTGCTGTATTCTCTGAGTGCGTTTGGTAGACTGCGGATCCAATTCATTGTCATAACTGTCTGATTGCCGCCTCCTCATAGGACTGAAGTGTAAAGGTGAGTAAACTTTGAATCATTACATACAACATCTTTGCATTCCAATAACAAAACTGAGATCTAGAAAGTACAAACAAACTAATATTCAACATATCTAATATATATATTGTATTCAGTTGATGGGAAGTAGAAAACATGTTATTATTTTATAATAATGTCTTTAACAAATTCTCTTAATTGATGATAATTGACATTGGGTGAATGTTTCACTATTTCCTAATTGACTGGTACACTGACCTGCCTCGTACCACAGCAGCCTCTGCAGCCTGCTGTTTTACCACTCGTTCTAGGTGTTCTCCTTCTCTCACCTCCTTGGACAACTTCCGATAGTCTTTCACCAGTTCACTGCCATACAATTGAAAGCTCTACTATAGTCATTTGATTACCAGGTTTGCTTAATTCTGACTCTGAGAATGTAAGGCTATAGACAAATATATATATATATCATAGAATTTCTCACGTTTAATTGTGAGACTGATTCTGTCATACAACATAAGGCTCAATTTAATTCATCAAGTCTATGTTGCCTGGAAAAGAAATTATTAGAAGAACCAGAATAAGAACCAGAAGAACCAGTAATAAGGCAATATTCATTCCGATGGCAGACATTATCATCTCAAAACAGAAAGAACCAAGAGACCCATGGGCCTAAGGCAATTTTTCTTCCTCCCTTCATTTGAAAGGAATACATAACAATAAGGACAATTCCAGTAACACATTTACTTGATCCATGGACTCCAAAATCACTTGTACCACGGTTAAGTTTACTGCCTATTATATCTAAGTAAATCATCAATTAATAAATTTTAGTAGTGTACACCTAAACCAAACTGGAGTCCTGGAAAGGAATAGCTGTTCTATGGTTTAGATTTGAAAATTTACCAAAACAATGATATGTTAAGTAAGACAGAAGTCCAAAAATTTTCTATCTTATTACAACATACTTAGCATATTCCTTCCACTCTCTGTTTAGCACTAGTGTAGTCTGTGACTCCTCAAGAAACTTCTTCCGGAGTCGAGCTACAGCACACTGAATGTTTTTGGCCATCACATCTCCAAGAGAGGCAGTTTGAGTGGACAACTGAGGGTACCGCAGCTGATCAAATTCTTTAACACCTGCATTTGTTACAAAACAAATTTGAACGTTTCAAAGTAGAAGATATGGTAATAAATATTGACAAATATAAACTAAATAGATAAATTAACTGACACATGTTTACAAACTTACCATTTTCTGTTCGTATTACTGTCCTCAATACATATCCTGAGAAGTGAAACAGTAGATTGTAAAATTTTCCCCCTCCTGGAGACATGAAATGTGAGGCAACAATTCTAGGCAGGTGTGTATCTGGTTCTGTCTGAATAGTACAAATGAAACACATTTACAACTCAAGAAATAGGTTGGTAACATCCAGTTTTAGTGAATGCAAATTCTAACATGTCAGTGAAACAGAAAATACAATTTACAGTGACACTTGTATCTATACCTACCAGAGGTAAGAAAAAGTGCTCAAGATGTATTTCAAGTTAAGCTAAGTTGGATGATAACTGAACGATAAATATTCTACTGCTGAAGCTACCCACAAAGTTTAACTACACACCAGAGCACTCAATTCATCTGTAATACTCTTGTTTTTCTATCATTTCATAAAGAAAAAGATAAATACCCAGGTATATTTTAAGTGTTGTATTTGTTACAACGGAGACCTAGTTAGTACGGGCCTGTCACATATATACATCTGTATAAAAGTAATTGTTGTTGCCCAGAGCACACCATCCACCACTCACCAAGGTGTGACACTAAACAATAGAGAGACAAACTAGTGCTGGATAAGGTGGTATTTCAACAACTATTATAATCACTTATCAAAATTCAATATGCCTATAGTCGCTATTCATTCATAACTACATAAGTTTTCTGCTTAATTTTTAATCTGTAATATTGATCAAACAATATCACCAAACCGCACAAATTGTGCCATCCTATCACACAGATGTATGCTAGATAATGTTGTATTGTGTGTGTGGGTAAGTGAGTGTATGTGCATGATGTGTGGACAATGCACAATGTGAGGATTAGATATGGACAGTGTTTTTTCATGCACTGTGCGATACCAAAACTATTATCATAATAACAATTATTCAATTGCTATAAGTAAGTTTTTGGTATTACAAGGACTAGGGCAAGAGCTAGCTCACAACTTCAACCAGAGATGTTTCAAGGCCTGATCAGCAGCAACATTTATCCTTCTGTTTTATATCATATCCATGTCTAATTACCTTTGTAATGTTTACCAGCCAATTGTGACATGTTCTGCGAAACTGTTGCTCTTGTTGTTTATCAAGTACAGGCCAGCAGTCTCTACAATACAGTACAATTATTGTATCATTATCCCATACAACAGATTAAAGATAAGACCAGTGATTTTCTGTTTCAGTTAACGTTTTAATATAGCAGTTCAGAAAAGATTATTCCTGTACCTGGAAGATGAGATAGAAAAACTAAGGAATAAAGTTATGACATGCCCAAAGCAAGACTTTCCCTTAAAGGCTTTAGCTGCATGTACCTTAAAGTTTAAACATTTAATCTTACTTATTGGACTGTTAGAATTAGACTTTTCACATCATTGAAAGTAAAATTGAATTACTTGAACATCTTCTGAGATATTAAGAAACTTTGGCAGTTATAAGTTCTAAACATCAATATCTGAATATCAGCCATACCTGAATTCTTCTCTGCACATAATTGGATTGAGTTTGTTAAAAAGAAAATATAACACTACTTCAGCTCCTTTTTTGTTTGGAAGGTTAAACATATTTCTGAAAAATAAAAATTGATTTATATTGAAAATAAACAATTTATAATGACATTGATAGTAAAATGCTAACAAAAGATAACATATTGAATAGGGTATACTTTCCACAATATTTAAACCAGCATTTCAATCAAATACAAATTAAACACAGATATAGTAAATGTACAAATATAATCATCAGCTGAGGCAAGCTAGTTGTATAACTGCTTTCCAATATTTTACATCACATAAATAATAAACACAAGTTTTAATCAAACTCTTATAACATGCTATCCAATATACTTATTTCACAAAGGCAGCCATTGCTAGGCACTTTGATAAATACCAGCCTTTTTTCTTTTTGCATCTATGTGTCTTTTCTAAGCTCAAATGTTGAAATTTCCTTTCATATAAGCTTTTAATTTTGCTAACATTATTATCAGCATTTTTATTTTTATGTTTCTCACTCATTTAGGAAATCATAAATATTTTGTGATACTGTAAACACTCTTATTTTGATGTAATCAATTTTAGAGCAATTTCAAATTTGAATAAATAAGTGCAATGATGAATTCATGCATTCATAATAATTGTTATATCAATGGCATACAGAAAACTGCAATAAGTGCAATTATATTTTAACACAACATGTTTAGTATGAATAACTGCTATAATAGGATTGTTCCTAAAACAAGTAAGACTTGATATAACAACCCATGTGTGGATCTAACATACTTATTAAATGGTACACAATATGAGGCTTCCATCGCTCCAGTATCAAAGCCCAACAGCTGTAGGTTGGTAAACAGCATCTGCTTCAATTCCAGTGTGTCACCCATTTTGACAATTGTCTTGCAAATCTAGATGTGCACTATTATTGATTATCCATCTAAACCAAATGAGAATAAAAGAAACACTAAATTAAGTAAGTACATTACAAATGACAAAGCAATATTTCATATATAGATATACATATGCATGCAATGACATTAACTGAAACGCTTAGAATTTGCATGAATCATCTGCAGGAGCAGTCTGTCTACTCTATACTGCTGCAGTGCAAAGTATACCCCCTCCACCACCACAACAGCAACAAAAATTCATGTCCCACTACGGCGCTAGCTATTACGGTGGCTAACTAATGGGACAAATGAAGTTTCACAAAAACAATTATCCGTTTTCGCTGAATCATTAAATTTTAAATATGTGTACATGGAACAAACAAGACGGGTATAAATATAACGCCAATGTTATGTCCACAACCGCTTACCCTGATCATGAAATGCATCGAATTCATGAAAACAGGAACGAACTTGAACTTTCGAGTTTTAAAAATATTGTTGCCTACTAATTGCAAGAAAACGATAGCATATCTGGCGTGTTGTTGCTAACCAGTATTGTTTCGTGGTTCCTACCGTATATAAAGATTTCGTATAGTATGTTTAAATCGGGGTAACAACACAGATACGCTTGGAAAGGCTGCAGATTTTTCAGTGATGTGACAGGGTAGCCATATTGAAAGTAGCCGCCAAGTTGGGTACCCGGATGTTAACAGGAAATACTATTCAATGATAGCATTTACTTTTAAATGTGTTGCATAATTTCTTTATAAAAAAAGTACAGTATATTCTGCACGATTCAAAATCACTTTACATTAAAACATTTTAACAATTCGTTTCATGCTTAGCACTTATTTCACAAAATTTGAAATTTTGTTTTTGTTATGCAAATGTGTTCTAGTGTATCACTTTTGTTTACAGTCGCAACCAAAAAGGATGAACTGACAGTCAGAATCCTAGAATCAGAGGATACAAACAGAGAGGAGTGAAACAGCCAAATGGAAGGTTTATGTTGTAGAATATTATTGTACTAATACAAATGTATACGTAGTGATAGGTTATACGCTGTATTTGTGTTTTTCATCGTTCTAATTCTTGGCATAATTTGTATTTTAAGAAATTAATTTGGGGAATGTATTTTCAGAAGGCAAAGTAACAAAAGCACTGCTGAAGACCAGGAGTGGGGAGTTCGAACTGGAAAGCATACATTCCATTAATTTGAGAGAATTAGGTAGGTCTAACGTAAAAGACAAATACTGTAAATTGGTTTATTTATGTGGACTGTGAAGTGTCATTTACTGACTAATGTGTCCATCTCCCATCTCCTACTTTTAAAGAGTACGTGCCAACTGTAACAATCTCGAAGCTGCATGTCAGACAATTCAAGATTTGAAATATGAATGGAGGGAGGCTACACCTAATTATCCAGTGGTAAATTTAAAATAAGTACCATGGCACTATAACACCATTATTAATCCGGACATCTAATAATGCGGACAAGAAAATTTGAAATAGTTAGAAATTGAGGGTTTGATTGACAGTTTACTGGTTGCTGAAGTGTGCTCTATCACTATTGTTATCCAGCTTATGCATGATTCAATCCCCCCCCCCTTTTTTTTTTTTTACACAATTTCGATGTACATTCTTATTCCTTAAACTTTCAGGTATTTCTGATCTTGGATGCATAGGCGAGTGTACTGGATTGGAGCGAGCGAATTTATCAAGAAATGATATAACAAAGCTTACCAAACTAGCAGGGCTTACCAACTTGACAACCCTAAATCTTTCTGCTAATAGAATAATATCTCTAGGTGAGCTTGAAATCTTTACACATTTAGTTTCAAACATGTCTTGTTTGTATTGATTTAGAAGGATTTCAATGGTTTTTAAACTAAATAGTAAGTATACAGTTTCTGCACTACATCCATATACTGAAACATCGTATGTATAAGAGTGTTCTCAATATTAAACAAGGATGTGGAATACTTTTATTAATTCATGCTGACTGGTTATGCCACTTATGGCTTGTCAGGGCAAAGATAGTTATGCAACAAATTTCAGCTCCTAAAGAAGTCCTAAAGTGGTACCTTGTACCAAAGAGATTTCGCACAAATTTGCAACCCTTGGAATATATGTGTTACTATGACATAAAGGACAGTGGGTTTGGAATTTGTGACAAGTCACTTTGCTTTGTTTATGTGACATTACATTGTTCTATACTTTCAAAATCTTCGATGATTATGAAAATGATATCAGATAAGAAGAAAGGAATTAGGTGTTTTTATTAAAGAGTTGTCCTTCCTAATGAAAACAAATATTTATACAGTCCACTTGGACATCACTAATCTCTGGTTTATTTTATGGTTGCTTATAGTTGCATGGAATGAGTTCATCAAATCTTAGGTGAGATCCTCTTGAGAATCAGTCCAAATGAAAATTGAAATAAATGGCTTATTGATATACTTATATTAAAGCAATTTTAGGACTTGTTGATAAGAACTTCCTGTCTCAGTAGTCCCTGAAAGTTACAGCATAGTGACATCTACATTCTTGTGTACTTATCTTTCTCAATGCTTTAACATAAGGTACAATATTAAAGCAATTTTAGGACTTGTTGATAAGAACTTCCTGTCTCAGTAGTCCCTGAAAGTTACAGCATAGTGACATCTACATTCTTGTGTACTTATCTTTCTCAATGCTTTAACATAAGGTACAATACCCGCTGGAATGTTGACTGTCAGGTGGTAAGTGGTTAGAGAACATTCCTACCTGCAATGTTTTATTGCTGATATTGATTGACTCTCAGCATACGTATTGTTAACCACTCTTGACGGATCATGCTACAATGGGATCCTACAGATATTAGACTGGCATTGACTCCTCTACCCTCTTCATCTATAGTGAGCATCATTTCGTCTTTGTAATTTCAGAATGGAAAGTATTTACACATTGATTCATCTATGCATCATAGATCATGCAGTGTTACATGTACATTCCTGATAATTTGTATTTTCTTTTATTTCTGTTCATAAACAGAAGGATTACAGACTCTAGAAAATCTACAGTCACTTAATCTAGCTGGTAATCTAATTGGTGGGTGAGTAAGATTTTCGATTGTACGCTGATGATTTTCAATATTAAGCCGGAGAAGATGGATTAAGTTTTCATTTGAGTGAATCTGTTTAAATTGATAATCATCTACAATCCACTTCTTCATCAAAATTATTCACTTATATTCATAATTTGAAATAAATTTTGTGCCACCAGAGCCTATGAATGATAATATATATAATAAGGCAATACGTATAATGATTGCTCAAGTAGTCCTCAAACACTACAGTAAATAATCAACCTGATTAATTCTCAAATGTGATTCCTGATAATCAATTAGCTCTAAAGTTGATCTGAAGGGTTAGAGTGACCTATAACCATCACCTTTCATTCATCACAGTGCTTAAAATTTCTATTCAAACAACTGTTGACTTGTACAATGCTGGGAAGAAGGGCTACCAATATTGTTTAAATGAATGACCTTGACCATATTTCAAGGTCACATTGCTCAAATGTATTAAGATCTTTAAACAAATTCTTCTCAATAACCAAAAACCTCAGGGTGTTTATATTTTGCTTGGACCATGCTGGGACAATGAACTACCAAATTTGTTCAAATGAATGAACTTTCAAGGTCACAGGAGTGCAATGTGTAAAAATCTTTCATCTTTCAAATGTGTTGAGAACTTGAAATTTCTTCATTCAACATGCAATAGGTCATGGTATTTGTGTAGTGGCATGTATGATGAACAGGATCTCAATTTTGCATAAATTGACTTATGAACTAACAAAATCTTATTAGTAAGCTGTAGAACAGGTGAGCAATTCAGGCCCATTAGGCCTTGGCCATATATAGGTTTTAAAGTCAGATGACCATTAAAAGCCCACAGGCTTCTTGTTCTAAAGTAAATTCATGCTGCATAGATATAAGATTATATTATAACCACGATAATTTAAGTGACAAGTTTTGACCAAGACATCATGAAGCTTGTTATTTTACCAAGACAACACTTTCATTTATATGGGTTTGGGAGTGAATGCATTTTCTCACTTGTTTAAATCAGTAACCAAGTCTTGTATGTGTATGAATGAAATGAAAGATTTATCTACTTCATTGACTTGAAAATAGCATTTTATTTCTATTTCAGTGTTGAAAACTTCCGGTGTTTAACAGGTTTAGAAAAGCTAGAAATTCTTACAGTTAATGACAAAGCATTGTCCAACCCTTTCTGCATCAACCATGGATACAAAAAAGATATATCAAAAATGCTTCCAAGGTTGCGAACCATTGATGGTAAGCACTTGGTGTATGGTTTGTGTCTATCCTTTCATTGTCCTCATCTTCCTTATTAATGCTGAAATGTCTTCTGTGGTCCTGTCATAACCTGCCTACTGTTGTGTCTCTCTCTGTTTTTTTTTTTTTTTTTTTGTACAAGTGGCTGGTTCCATATATCCTTTCCAGGCATGGACACGTTTATCCTCTTTCCTTCAGAGTTTCAATGAAGTACATTGTATGATGTTGTAAATACATATCTTGGCAGGGAGCCAGCCAAGGAAAACATATCTGTATCAAAATTACTCCAAGCATCTCACTTGTAGATAATTAAGTAAGGGAGAGCTTGTCTACAGCAAAATCACTCAAAAGAATCTGATTTCTTGGTTTGCTTCCTAATCGAGTGATTAAGCCTTTTTAAGGAGATTAAAGAAACTAACATTTGGTATATAATGAATGTTTGGTATTGTTACCAAAGTCAATTTTTTAAGGAGTCTGCAAGAAGCAGCCAGTAAATTTTCAGCAAAATTAAAGTATTGTCATTGTAGATTTTACAACATAAAGATGCCCTTATTTAATTAGTAATCAATTAAACATTAGAGATTTCTGTATTCTCTTGATGACTGCACATCAAAAATATGCCAAAAATTGTTAGTATTCATGCTTTCTGTTACAGGAGAGCGTGTACATGGTCGAGGGAGTGAAGTGTTTGAAATGTGCAAGGACATTGAAGAAGCCTTAGAAAGTAATTGTGTGAATTCAATTATTGACTAAAGTTGCTCTTCAAATAGCAAACAATTTAATCTTTAATGACCATAGAAATTTGTCTTGAAATATGAACAGTTTTAATATTTCCACCTGTGTTCCAAATTAGGAAAAAAATGTTTTAGTTCAAACAATTATTTATACAATTAGACTAAATGGCATTGCAAGCTTCAAATCCTTTGTGAAAGTAATGCATTTGATTTTATAGTACAAGCATATTTCCTATATTAATTGTTTCCTACAAGCAAATGAATCGCCACTATATAAATTAGAAATTTCTTTTTAATTGGAAACATCAAGCCCAAACTTTTAACTTGTGATTAATATAACCTACAAAGTCCATCAAGGTCATTCTAGCAGATTGATTTTGATAATCAACTCACTACTTTTGACATATACATTTTATCCTGACTCTTTGGACATCCTGTGTTATTTGTTACAGTGAGGTCAAACAACAGCAAAGACACAAAAATTATCAAGGCAGAGGAATGGCTCCCAGAGAACTTCTGGACATTTTCATCAAAAAAATTTGACCAAACAAACTTAGCTGATGCAGATGATCAACTGCAAGGTAAAACATGAATAGCTAAATCAATCATTTTTCTTTCAGGTGTACATATTTCTAAAAGAATCCCATGATTCATATCTGAAAGGAATGAAAACAAAACTAGGATCTTTATACTACAGTAATGTGTTATCTGCCCTACCAATAAGTATTCTTGTACTTTCTACTATTGTTTAGTAAAATCATAAATCTATGCTATTTCATTGTGTTTTAAATAGTCACCTCACCCAGACAATGAATATTTATATAATTTGGTATTATATTGAGCTACTAGGCTTGTTGCAATCCTCCATTGACCCCATTGTCACGGTCAATCTTATTGCTATACCATCAGAGTGAAACAAAGGGAAGTAATTCTGGAAGATCAGAATGGTTTCAAAACAAAACTAGTTTGGCCGTTTTTGACCCAATTTTTTTTCATTCGCAAACTTTGTAGACCATGCCATAAGGACCCTAAATATCAAATATGAATTTAATCTGACTGTTGGTTCATGAGAAGATTTTTAAAGATTTACCTAATTTTACCCCCTATTTCCCCCTCTTGAGGCCCCTATTAGGGCCACACCCTTTTTCTTTGCAGACTTGAAGCAGCTTCCCATGGGGATGCTTTTTGCCAAGTTTGGTCAAAATCCATCCAATGCTTCTTGAGAAGAAGTCATTTAAAGAAGGTTTTTACATATGACCCCTTTTACAACCCTTACGGGCCCCAAAAGGGACATAATCACTTTTTTCATCATAATTTCTTATGTCCTTCACTAGGGGATGCTTTCTACCAAATTTGGTTGAAATCGGTCAAAGTTGATTTTTTTACCCTTTTGAGCGCCCCCTAGTGGGGCCGTTTTTGACCCAATTTTTTTTTCATTCGCAAACTTTGTAGACCATGCCATAAGGACCCTAAATATCAAATATGAACTCAATCTGACTGTTGGTTCATGAGAAGAAGATTTTTAAAGATTTACCTAATTTTTCCCCCTATTGGGGCCATGCCCTTTTTCTTTGCAAACTTAAAACGGCTTCCCATGGGGATGCTTTGTGGCAAGTTTGGTCAAAATCTATTCAGTGGTTCTTGAGAAGAAGTCGAATATGTGAAAAGTTACTGATGCACGACGACAGACAAATCGTGATTGCAATAGGTCACCATGAGCCTTCAGCTCAGGCGACCTAAAAAATAGTACATCTACATTAAATTCTTGTTCTTATTTACCTTTCTCAGTTTTTAACCTCATCTGAAGTATCAAACTTTCCTATTTTGTGATATTTCAGGTCTTTTGTACTCCTGCCAGCTGCTGAGTGAAAAGGCTGATACTGCCTTAAGTTCATTGCCATCTACACAATCAACTAGCTCCAGTGGAGACCATTCTTGACAGGAGCAGATATTAAAAAACAGAATTGAAAAAACACTTCAAAATCTTTGTTTATTCATTTCAACAACTTCATAACAAGCAAAGGTTACAACCATATCAACTTAATGATACCTGTATCGTTACATTGAAATCTACAGAAAAATAGTTTGAAAATTGAAGGTTGAATGATGTGAAAATTCCATCCCTATGTGTGGTCAATCAGCTTCCCAAACGTTCGTTTTTATATTTCTGATGTAGAATCCTCAAGTTTTATTGGATACATCTATTTACCATGTTTGTGTATCAATATTTACCTGTGAGAATTACTGCATACACTATATGTGGAAGTAACAAATTACAAAGTCATACAGTGATTGATAGGTTTCAGGAATCACAATTACATACATCTATAACAAAAATGACACTTTTTGTTAAACAACTCTAGGAAGATAAATAAACCAGTCATACAACTTGTATTTAAAATGCATTGTTAAACAACATCATCCAGCACATATTTTCATCAACATTCACATCATCCAGCACAATACAAAATACATATTAAGGAATTTTTCTTATATCAACGTCTTGTCACCAGTTGATGATGGGCCTCATATATCCAATTATCACTCCTTATACTTGTTTGGACAGAAAATGTTCTATCCAATATGTGTTTAGAGCAGTATCCTTGAACTACTTTAGTGTATGAAACACACCTATATATAGTTCTCATTTAGTACTTTCTGTATCATTGTATGGTGAACCACAGCTATATAGCTTAGAACTCATAAAACATTACCACATCTGAAGAAGTAAGAACTGTATAAATTTTTCATTTGGAACAGTTCTTTGAACGCTTCCACTTGGATAAGATGTATGAATCAATGTGATAAACACATGACCACATGAACCATACTTAATCCTGTCATTCTTTGAATTTCCAATCCTGTCGACACATTGGACAGAGCTGATTCACTTGCTGGGAGTTGAGCCACTTCACAATGCAGTGGATATGGAAACAGTGTGAACACTCTCCCCAGACTGCAAACAAACAAATCATGTATTGTCTCAAAAACTTAAGTCACACAACTATCATACAAATTTTTTTTCCAAAATAATTTCTCGAAGACTGGAAATGTATGGACATGTTTTGGACATCATAAATCATAAAGTGAAGCCACAAAATTTTTGATGCATTAATGTAAAATTATTTTTGATGAAACTGCAAAGGGAAAAAAATCCTCTTACAACACATATTTGATCTTTTTGACTTATTTTGTTACATTGCCTGATCATGAAGTGACCTTGACACTTGCAACATGCCTCTTAATATCAACCATGTCTTTTGACTCTTTGCTTGTAGAATCATTGAGTTTCATTTTCTCATGAAGGAAAAATAATTGAATCTGAATCATATTTAATAATATCATCTACACAGAACTGATTTTTGTTGAATGACTAGTAAAATTACCTTGACCTTGGATTGTAGACTTTAAAAATCAACAGGTTTCATTATTTCGTGAAGTGAAAACAGTGGGGCAAGTGTTATTATCATTGATAGATGAGTTTTCTTGAAGCACAATGACGTGCTCTTCCTAAATGTATAGTATGAGCAAATGGATAGCTGTGACATTACATCCTTGCCATGATATGATGTGAGGCTAGGGGAATGATCAGCTTATTGAAAAGACTAAGGATTTACCAAGTGGACAATCATCTCCTGGCAGTTTACAGTCTGGACAACAACCATCAAATGCCATGCGGCATATCCCGCAGTTTTCGTCATTTGCAACCCACCGCCATGTTGCTACTGCAGTCCAACTATATACCAAGAAACCATAAAATAGTCCATTAATAACATGTTTGACATGTACAGCAACTTGCGTCAATCAAATATATATACCAAAATACCTAAAGTACAAGAGGTTATCAATTTCCATGTAACATTCATTCCGAAAATTGTATCTTCTGAGAAAATTCTGTTTGTATTTACCTGAACAAACTAGAAATCTTGGGTCAGCGTTATGTGAACACCATGACACCTTTTCTCAACATGATAAAAAGATGTTGTAATTTTCATTGATAAAGTGAATCAGATTACTATAAATGTGCAAGTACTAGGATTTAGTATTGCTTACTTAAATTTTACATATGTATATATTCATCAATATGCCCAAGGGCTAACACCTTTGACTGGGTTTATTTATCCTGGTAATACTTACCCTGACAGGAGAGGTCCAGTTAAACCAGCGACAGATCATCAGATAATACAGCACATGGAAAAAAGACAAAAAAATGAGAATAAACAACAGAAGTTTGTATAAATAATGAAATACATTGCTACATTATTGTCCAAGGCTTTCAGCTTTGCTTAATTCTTTTTTCAACTGTAACAACAATCATTTTCTCAAGGACAGGATAAAAACATCAGTTACTGTAAATCAAAGCAGTAGAAAAATAGATTATTGAGTACTAACATGGTTAGTAAGAAGCCATCAATTCTAGACATCACACAACTATGATAATGTAAGATGACTAATATTTATAAAGTCAGGATACCATGACATTAAAAAAATTTCTAGAAAAAAATATCTGAACTTGAACTTAACTCTTTAAGAAAATTTCAACAAAAGGGCCGCATCTACATTAGGTCATTGCTGTACATAAAAGTTTGAGAAGATTTCACTAAAAAAAACCCAAATGAACGAAGAGGCGGACAAATTGAAAGGTGTCTACAGACAGACAAGCAAGCTGACTCCAGTACTAATCCAGTAAGTTTAAAAGGAAATTTTTCTGTCAGTAAGTATCCTTCCCTTGTTCAGCTACGTACTTTTTATACATCCACCAAAAATTGTGACAGGACATTTTTTGGTGCATGTATGTAGTGTTGTCCGTTAATCTGTTTGTCAAAAACTCTTTATTTGTCTAAATTTCCTCTTCCACAATTTTCCATCTTTATGACGTTATGATTAATAACCATGACATGAAGTTGTAAATTCCCAAACAGCAGTTAAATTTGATAATATTTAGAACTTTTTGTACTTCAAATATCTTTATGATATGCAGGTCATGATCATGAGGTACAATGAATATTCTAATTTCCATTTTTTTTGATAGAACTAGAATATACAGGCAAATTACATGTTTCATATAGACGTCGGTTTCAGACTGTTATGTATTTCGGAATGGCCAATTTGTCAAGCTGTCTTTCATAATGTATTGACTATCGTGACCTTGCACGCGGATAATTTTGTGGTATAACATGTCACATTTCCAGAAAGAATAAAAATTTGTGATTTAAACCATTCCCCATTAAATATTATGAGTATATATTTCATTTTTTCATAATACACATTTTTATATGTCAAACATCCTCTAAAATTTGATGAAATAACCTATCAATGCATCATCAGATGCCATTGTTTTGTTGTCGTCTGTCATATGAATAAAAATTGACCATGAATAATAGGCAATGCTTTTCCATAATTTCTGGTCTACACAAGTCCAAACTTATGTAGATATTGAGAGTACAGGTTGCATTACTGTGAGAATATCCCTGCATCACTTATGAAAACTCATTTCTGATTTTATTTAAATAGCAAGTTGTACACCAAGAGATGAAAAATCACCTATATTTAAATAGTTTGAGTTATAAAAAAAAGTTAACCAAGAAATATGGCTCAATTGAGAGAAAAAAGGATCATACAATAAAAGCTTGAATCTAAATCTTTAAAGAAGTAGTGCACAGATATCCACCACTTTCACATCATAATTGTATCTTTATTTTCATCAAAATATCATTCCCGTTCAAATGAAGATTTTATGTAATACATGTGTACTTCTATGTCACAATAAGCTAACTCAAGCAGCTCTGTGATATAGTCATGTCATCAGAAACAGAAGTGCAGTCACATGTCCAATTCACATGTCCATCAATTTCAGGTGAGCGAAATTGAGGTCGTATCTGTGGACACTTTTTAGAAAAATGCTGGCCTTTCACCTATCAGTTTTGAAATAAATCTTAAAGTATGAGCATATTTCACATCATTTCCTTGTTTGTTGCCATCAGAGACGTATGTCTCTGGCGGCATGCAGTTCACCATTATATTGTTGCTAGCGAAAAAATATTCTTCAGTTCAGGGGTCCGAAACTAACGCGCCAATAATTTAGTCTGCGATTTGTAACGGTCTCATTGTAACTATATGTATCAGTTGGTCATGATACAGGAAAAATAATAACAAAATCACCCCAGAGACACCTGTATCCGGGATTCTAGTTCACAATGCTGCTCGAGTTGTTTACGTTCCCGACACAGATGCATGTGGTCAAACTAAACAGCAGTACTCACTCTTTACTTTCACCTTCATCTGCACGGTCGTTTGCACTCGTGACTATGCAGTAGCATATATGGCCTACGTGCTACATGTGATACAGTGGGCCAACTGTTTTTCATAAATTCGTTTTCACTTCCAGTAGTTTCCCTCCTCAACTTTCATTTTAGTGATACACTAACTATAACTCAGAATCGGTAAAAGATTTCCGGATGGTAAAAACCTTGAAAAGTTAGAAATGCTAACATTTAAAATATACATTGTATGATACCATTGAATTTAATCATAGATTGATGCAAAGTAAAAAAAAAACTTGGACGGAAAAAATCTCGATATGAGTCAAAAACAATTATAAATGAGAGTCCGGAAGTTTCTCATGGGTGGCGTTTAAAATGTTAGTAAAAGGTTAGGGTTTCCGGTTGTAAATCTACAATTTTCATGAAGCCTTATGGACTACTTCTCCAGCTTATCGGTAAATTTAAAGAGTTAAAGTATTAACTATTTTGTTGCTTCTTTTCTTCTATTTAGCGGTCATTTTTATTTATTAAATGATATCAAGAACAATGACCATCATTGGCGCGTTTGGATCGGTTATTAGGCCTCTAGACTAGACAGTACAAATTGTATGTTTGTATACTTGCTAACCATTTTTTCTAATCAGCTTGGTTCCGGTGTGCCTTACAGCAATACATGTACACATATTATCGATTTCAATAAAAATGACATCAAACACAACACAGGGTACATAGAACAATATTCAATTAAAAAGAAAGTGTCGAACTACAAGAAATACCGCAGCAGAACAATGGGAAAAGTACTGGCTTATGACCAGTGAAACTTCATCAATATCACGCCAAAATTCATATTAAATTCACAACCACACATTATAACACATCGACAAGAAAATATCAATGTTTAACTATACATTAAATTTAATGCCTACAAATCGCAGGGTTTCCTGAAACGCATTCTCAAAATCAATTCAGCTTACACGAAAGAACATGCATATCATGCACTAGACTTGTCGGGCAATAGCTGAACATTATTATATTACCTGGTACTATTGAGTCTCAGAAGTGATTACCAACAGTGCAAAGCTTTAAAACTTGCCTACTATTTTAATCTTATACTCTCCTCTTCACAAAGTTAACAAACAAACAAATGCACTCATTTAATCAGCTGTACTCCATGGCCCTGTTTATTGACAGTCAATATTCAATTAAAACAAATTAGCAACCAATTTTGTCACTTTAAGTGTGATTATTTATAAATATTTATTTATTTGTTGATGACTGCTTGCTGTAAGATGAAATTAAAAAAAATAAGATACATGAATACATTTGTAACATTGAAGTTATACCTCATATGGTAAATAAATTTGTTTTCCTTTTCACTGCTTGATACCTTAATTTTCTATTTAATTTTTGTTATTTCAGACATTCCTGCATGTGGACATAAATTGACATGAATTTCCCAGAGACAAATTTCCCAGCCTGCCAGACTTCTAAGACAGAAAGACGAGAGGTGTTCTATGAGTATGGTTCTCATGGTTATGTAGATGTTACCGGTATTTATGGACAGAATAATGAAGTCTTTTGTCAGAAGGTCCCAGAAGGTTTCCAGAAGAAGGACTTTCTGTGTGCTAGACGACCAACACTGCCTCTGTCATCAACTCCAGAATGTACATAAAATATTAGCATATTGTCATATAAATGATATGAATGTACTTACTTTATATATATTCAAATATAAAAGTTGAATTCTCAGTGTCTGGTGAAATATATTAGAATAACTTAAAACAACATGTCGATGTGTTGTTTTTTATGTTATTGTAATGTATATATATTTACACTGGTATATCATCCCATCAATTATTACACTATTTTGTCAGTTCATTTTGGTTTTTTTTTATGCAAAAGACTTTTAAACTCACCATAACTACAAGATTGAAATTGATTATCTGAAAAAATTAAGACACACCAGATAAGAAATAAGGTTTATGAATTTTCCTCATACAAGCATGTGTATTGCTGAATAATGTATGTAACTACTGTTCTACTGCTTCACCGCTGTTGGCCTCGGCTGAGGATGTCGGCTGTGAAGCAGTAGAAACATCTTAGCTGTATTAAGGCAAATTTCCCCATTTTAGATAGACTTGAACTAAATGGGTTCTGGTTCTGACAAGCGCAAAATGTCCACCCTTTCCTTTGAGTCTTGCCTTGACTTTTTACATGATAGATATGGTAATAAGGTGTACATAGATTTAACATTTTCAAAATCTGGAAAATAGTTTAACCTTTTCTAATTTCAGATGTGTACACCACCTATACCAATGATCATATGAAGGAGGTATTGAAAGTTCATGAAGAAGCTCTAAGTTTCAGAACGTGTATAAAACGTTTCAATTTAAAAGTAAGTATGATAATCTCAGCATGTTACACAGTGTATATGTGTATAAATCTTCACTCAACAGTCAAAGTTCAGAATTGCGCTATAAGTAATGAGTAATTTCAAAATTTCATCTGCATGAAAAAAATAGTTTTACGGGAATATAGCCAATTATATTGAGCAGATAGTCTTTGTTTTCCAATTACAAACTCTTCTGATCATTATGTAGTGATGTTTGACCACAAAAAAAACAAAACAATGATGACATTTGTTTTATTTGATGACTCGTTAAGAAAGAAAATGAGTCAAAGCTACATAAAATTACTTCAGAGTACAGACTTTTATATTCAATTTGCATACTCATATTGAAGTTTTGACTGGACAACTTATTGTATGGCATAGTCTGTTTGTCTTTCAACATTTATTACTTGTTTGGAGGTCTCTTTCCATCTCAGTAAGCTTTATCTATTATATAAAAAAATGTTTTTCTGAACCAAAGTTTCATTCAAGAGGAGAAGATATTGCCCTCTTTGTCTTCTTCAGCATTCTAATCTTTTCTGGAGATCTCTGATTTCTTTGAAACTTTGCAAGGTTTATACCCATGATAAGAAATTTGTGGTTAGTTTTTCAGGTGTATTTCATTACCTTTTTGTAGCATTTCAATCTTTTCTGGAGATTTCTTCTGTTCAGTTTTAACTGGTCTTTTCCTTGGTATGCTTTATTGTCAAAACATTTAGCACTTTACAGTTATTGTCTGTTGTTTTATGAGCTTTTTTATCTTGCCTGTATATCCTCTCAATTAGCTTTCAACTGATTTTGTTGAGACTTGGTACACTTCATCATAATGGAATGAGGTTGTGCATCTGTTATTGTTTTATTAGGATATAATGTGTAACAGATGCAAATGTATATGTAACAATTTTTTCTTATTTTGTGGCTTCAGCATAAAACACTATCTGAGAAAGTGAAGAAAGAGATAGAAGCTTACTATTTGTCATCATCTGGTACAAGCAAACTAACAAATGATATACTACAGAAACTGACTCAACAGTACCAGAGGTTTCGGAACTGGCCGGATATTCCTGTGAGTGATTTGATATAACATAATAAATAAATAAATGAAGTGCAAGTATTCAGTTTGATGGTAATGAACAATGCTATGGATGCCAGACCAGTATAGAAAGGCTGATAGAAAGTCCGAATGATTCAAACAAGCTGCATATATGTGACAGCACTCAGATGCATAGAATCTTAAACAAGTTTTCATTTCATATAAGATTTAATGAAAAAAAGACTTATTTTATTATTATGAGCCTTCTCAGGCAAAAAATAAAACTTCAAGATGAGTTTTATAAAATATGATATCAGATGAAATAAATTTAAACACCATTTATCACAAAACTCAGAAAATTACCGTAAATATTCGCGTATAGTGCGCACTTTTTTAAGCTGAAACTGTCGTGTCAAAAAGGGGGTGCGCACTATACGCAGGTACATGCCATTCCTGGGGTTATCATTCCCGAGTTCTGCATCCGCCATATTGGATTACCTCCCTTCACATAGTTATATGTAAAAGTCGTCGGTCTTATATGATAGTTTGGAGATAAAAACAACAAAAAAAATAAAATGTTTTAATCATCTGCCATTCACACTAGCATTACGGTGAATCTAATTTTTTTTCGTTTCCGGTCGGTCTTACTATTGGTCGGGGCTATAGTAGTGTCGGTACATTTCGAGAGGTTTTAACACAACAAAATCCTAAGGACAAAATCATATGGAGGCAGCCATTTTGTTTTCCAATTTTCAGTTTATCATATAACATCATTGTTCATATTATGATATAACAGTTGATTACTGACTGGCACAGCAAATGAAAAATTCTCTGCGATATATTACATATGCAAAAATATTACATGCCTAGGGGAATAATTTACTGGATAACAGTTTTTTTTTATGTGCTAAATTCAGTATACATGTATATATACTACATGAAAACAAACCTCTCCAGTACGTTATAATGATGAGACTTAACGGTAGTAGAAATACAATTAATAGTTATGATGATAAGAGATTGAAGCTACATCTTCAGTGAAAATGAAGGCTCCATCTTGTGTAGAGATATATACAACTGACTGTTCTAGATAACATTGGGCAGTCTTTTTCTGACTCTAAGCCTCATATTGTCAAACCCTTCATTTATATAAAACAATCATCACCTACATAACAACTTATATCAAACATGAAAATAGAGCCAATGTCAGTTCCAAAACAGGTGGGTTATTTAGTGGGAAGCTGCACTTTTGCTTTGATACCTAGAGGTATACAGGAAGACTGATGAAATAATAGATATGAAAAAGTAGATTTGAATCACAATAGACACAATATTTAATTTTATCAGAGAGTATTTTAAAGGGTTTTCCTTTTGTTCAGAAAACTAGCTCTGAGTATGCAGGTGGATGTGTGTCATATCTACTGGGGTCAAGGACAGCTGATACAAACTCTGATGTCCGTCTGGTGTCTGCAACAGGAAACGACCTGTCACAGCTACGTATCCTTTCATGCTAAAAAAGCTCAAAAAGATATAAGTATGAACTGCGACAATGAAGCAACACATATAGTACATGTAATAGTAACACTGGGATGTAACTCAGTCAGTGATCACTGAATTCAGATCACTATCCATATATTATTTGAACTTGTATTACAAATTTACTTAACCGTCTTGAGGAATCACAGATATCACGATCAACCAACAAGATTTGACTTTGCACAAAACTAAGCATGAGGTGATTGGAAACATGCCCCTGAGAGAGGTGACTGCCAAGTGTGTCTCGGATACAGGTCAGTACTATGAATATTCATCCAACACTCAGCACCTGTAAGTAGTGGTCTTACAATGGAATAACACAACTCACTGAGGTAGAAATATGAAATGTGATATTTTCACCTGCTTTGTAGAATAATCAAAATGCATTCAATTGGTAAAGACAAAACTTTAGATATCAACTCAACATCATAGAATAACACACACATACACACACATATATATATATGCAAATGTCCATCCACAGATTACCTAGCTGCACGAGGCCTTGACACGTGTAGGCTCTACAGTAACAGACAAGACAGCAGTACCTTTACCCCTGTTGGGCTTGCTCACTTCACCGCACAGCAGGGGCATCCAACCTCGGTTCATTTGAGGTACATTGAATTAAAAAAAAAATGAAACTGTATTAGTGTTAACTTAAATATTACAACTAAATAACTGTTTGGAAATATATTCAATGCTTTGTAGACTTTGATGTTTTGGTTAGAAGTAATGGTACCATAGTCTTTTTTTTGATAAAAAGGGAAAAACTTTGCTCACTTCACTGATGTGTCATTGACTCTCCTCTTGTGTCTTTGTACTCATGCATACTGTTCTTATTAGGTCAAATATTGTTTTATGATGTCAATGTAAGATAAAAATGAGAGCTTGTTTATTTACAGTGACTACATTCCTGGTGATTGTTTGGTATCAACTACAACTGGAGCTGTGTATCTCTGGTCTCCTGACAATAGGTAACTTTGTTGGTTTCATAGTTAAAACAAGTCAAGTGTGATATTGATCAGGTGTCTGTCCATCAAAGCATTTCAGGTTCTAGGGCAACAGATCAGGGCTTTTTATTCATTGGTTTGAGGAGAGCATTTTTGCCTATCTATCTTGAGAAGAAAATTAGTGAATGTGGAAGGACATTTTCAAGAGTGAATTGCAAATTTTGTGAAGTTAACTTATATATGAAGTAATTTCATTTCGAAATGAGGCCCGTTAATGGAACGAAAAACACTTAAGCAAAATCCCTGCAATTACCTCAGTTAATATGAAATCTGATGAATCATTGTCTTCTTATAAACCTTCCTTTTCTGTTGACTGAATATAATATACTACATCACCAATAACATAATTTGATCAGATGAGTATCATGTTAGTTGTATCATGACATACTCATGATCTTATTTCCAGATAATTCATAGCTTTTGATAAGAAGTTAAAATTCAGAATTGAGTTTGAGAAATGAAATTACAAAAACAATGTGCAATTTGGCATTTGCCTGATTGAGTGTTAATGTTGCAGACCAGAACAGGTGATTGGAAGCAGGTCCACCAGGTTTATGTGTTCATTACCATGGAGACGGGCAGAGTTTGGAGCACATCCTCGAGAAGTTATTGCATCTGACCCAACTGTTGTACAACTGTTTGACATTAGGGTATGCATCACCTCAATTTTTTGGTTAATTAACCAATGATTTAACTAGTTCTAGACAGAATCTGAGGGGTAGCTGCCTACCCCTGTCTCATCCCTATCCTTCTCATACCACACCACTTCCCTACCCCTGTCTCATCCCTATCCTTCTCATACCACACCACTTTCCTACCCCTGTCTCATCCCTAACCTTCTCATACCACACCACTTCCCTACTCCTGTCTCAAACCTTTCCTTCTCCTACCACACCACTTCCCTACCCCTGTCTCATCCCTATCCTTCTCATACCACACCACTTCCCTACCCCTGTCTCATCCCTATCCTTCTCATACCACACCACTTCCCTACCCCTGTCTCATCCCTAACCTTCTCATACCACACCACTTCCCTACCCCTGTCTCATCCCTATCCTTCTCATACCACACCACTTCCCTACCCCTGTCTCATACCTAATTTGCTCTAACACACCACTTCCCTACCCCTGTCTATCTCTATCCTTCTCATACCACACCACTTCCCTACCCCTGTCTCATCCCTATCCTTCTCATACCACACCACTTCCCTACCCCTGTCTCATCCCTATCCTTCTCATACCACACCACTTCCCTACCCCTGTCTCATCCCTATCCTTCTCATACCACACCACTTCCCTACCCCTGTCTCATCCCTATCCTTCTCATACCACACCACTTCCCTACCCCATCTCATCCTTTCCTTCTCATACCACACCACTTTCCTACCCCTGTCTCATCCCTAACCTTCTCATACCACACCACTTCCCTACTCCTGTCTCAAACCTTTCCTTCTCCTACCACACCACTTCCCTACCCCTGTCTCATCCCTATCCTTCTCATATCACACCACTTTCCTACCCCTGCTTCACCCCTATCTTACACCTACCAAACCACTTGTTGTAGAGAGGTCCCGGGAAGCAGGGTGTTGACTTGTTTGTCTTTGTTGTAGAGAAGTCCTGGGCAGAAGGGTGTTGACTTGTTTGTCTTTGTTGTAGAGAAGTCCTGGGAAGCATGGTTTAGACCTGTTAGTCTTTGTTGTAGAGAAGACCTGGGCAGCAGGGTGTTGACTTGTTTGTCTTTGTTATAGAGAAGTCCGGGGCAGCATGGTTTAGACCTGTTTGTCTTTGTTGTAGAGAAGTCCTGGGCAGCAGGGTGTTGACTTGTTTGTCTTTGTTGTAGAGAGGTCCTGGGCAGCAGGGTGTTGACTTGTTTGTCTTTGTTGTAGAGAAGTCCTGGGCAGCAGGGTGTTGACTTGTTTGTCTTTGTTGTAGAGAAGTCCTGGGAAGCATGGTTTAGACCTGTTTGTCTTTGTTGTAGAGAAGTCCTGGGAAGCAGGGTGTTGACTTGTTTGTCTTTGTTGTAGAGAGGTCCTGGGCAGCAGGGTGTTGACTTGTTTGTCTTTGTTGTAGAGAAGTCCTGGGAAGCATGGTGTTGACTTGTTTGTCTTTGTTGTAGACCTGTTTGTCTTTGTTGTAGAGAAGTCCTGGGAAGCAGGGTGTTGACTTGTTTGTCTTTGTTGTAGAGAGGTCCTGGGCAGCAGGGTGTTGACTTGTTTGTCTTTGTTGTAGAGAAGTCCTGGGAAGCAGGGTGTTGACTTGTTTGTCTTTGTTGTAGAGAAGTCCGGGGCAGCATGGTTTAGACCTGTTTGTCTTTGTTGTAGAGAAGTCTTGGGCAGAAGGGTGTTGACTTGTTTGTCTTTGTTGTAGAGAAGTCCTGGGAAGCATGGTTTAGACCTGTTTGTCTTTGTTGTAGAGAAGTCCTGGGAAGCAGGGTGTTGACTTGTTTGTCTTTGTTGTAGAGAAGTCCTGGGCAGCAGGGTGTTGACTTGTTTGTCTTTGTTGTAGAGAAGTCCTGGGCAGCAGTTTGGTTGTTGACATTGTTTGTCTTTGTTGTAGAGAAGTCCTGGGAAGCATTGGTTTTTGTTGTAGACCTGTTTGTCTTTGTTGTAGAGAAGTCCTGGGAAGCAGGGTGTTGACTTGTTTGTCTTTGTTGTAGAGAGGTCCTGGGCAGCAGGGTGTTGACTTGTTTGTCTTTGTTGTAGAGAAGTCCTGGGAAGCATGGTTTAGACCTGTTTGTCTTTGTTGTAGAGAAGTCCTGGGAAGCAGGGTGTTGACTTGTTTGTCTTTGTTGTAGAGAGGTCCTGGGCAGCAGGGTTGTTTGTCTTTGTTGTAGAGAAGTCCTGGGAAGCATGGTTTAGACCTGTTTGTCTTTGTTGTAGAGAAGTCCTGGGAAGCAGGGTGTTGACTTGTTTGTCTTTGTTGTAGAGAAGTCCTGGGCAGCATGGTTTAGACCTGTTTGTCTTTGTTGTAGAGAGGTCCTGGGAAGCAGGGTGTTGACTTGTTTGTCTTTGTTATAGAGAAGTCCTGGGAAGCATAGTTTAGACCTGTTTGTCTTTGTTGTAGAGAAGTCCTGGGCAGCAGGGTGTTGACCTGTTTGCATTGCCTAGTCCCCTGGTGATGTTAGGGGAGAGGATTCATCTAAGTACACAATCTACAGCATCAGAATTTCATCACTTTGTTGCTTGTAACTACAGTCTCTTCTTGATTGACCAGCGGTTTCCTTCAACACCGGTAAGATACATACCTAACGATAAGGTCCACAGTTTGTATGCAGCCTTGTACTTTAATCACAACAAATATTTCTACTTTACTACATATTGTTTTCTCTACAAATGTCAGAAATTCTAGTAGGTTTCTTTTTCTAAATCTTACCATATTTGCACTTACTTGACAATAGGTCCATGCCTTGCAATAAGCCCACCCATATCTAATGCAGTCTTAGTAGCAATGCCAATAATGGCTTATCACTGCCTTGTAATAGAAAAAATCTTTACTTTCGGAGATTATGTTTTAGCCCCTCCCAACTGATTGCAAGGTAGATTACAAGTATGATTCATGGTTGATCAGACCCTGTATAGTTGTTGGTTTGGATATTAAAATATTTTCAGTGAACATAAAATTTTGTTTTGATTTACTTCAAATAGGTGCTGAGTTGGAAACACATGTTGGTCAACCCTCCACAGTATTTAGAAGGAGTGAACTTTCCTACCAAAGATCACAGCATCCTCTTGATAGCTAGTCAGAGTCCTCCAGAAGTTTGCTGCTACACATACAAGTGTAGCTCAGGGATGGCAGCCCAGGCTTTAGGTGCTCCCTGGCGAGTGTCAAGGATTGAGTGAGTTAAGCTAATGATTTCTGTGTTGTGTTTGATGATAGTAGCATATCCAATACTAGACACATATATATTGAAATGGATTTGAATAACACCTAGCTTTAAGCATAAGCACTTTCTTTTTTCATTTCATTATCTTACAGCATTGTCACAATTTTACCTGGTACTGTCCCCTCATGATGAATGTTGGGGAGGGGATATAGGAATGTTCTGTAGACTCAGTTTTGCCCAAACAACAACTCCTACATTACTGTACATATGACATAATTCACATGTTACTTTCACATCAATCATAGCAGGTGGTTGCTATGTGATATTTACATTGTAACAATGATGATGCCTATTGAACAGATATTGGTTAACAACTTACTATAACATGAAGTGGTAAATATGTAAAAACCATATTGCAGCTTTTTTCTTTTACTAGTTTTGTGAATCTTTATATTCACAATAACCTTAACATAAATCTACATGTTGTTTAAAACTCTTTTCCTATGAAGTTATGTCCCTTTATATAATACAGATCATGTTTAAATATTGTTCAGTTTCTGGTGATACTAATAAGCCTGAAATGATTAATGACTTTACACGTCTGGAACCTACCTGCCTTGTTTATTTACCTAGACATAGGCAACAATTACATGTGACATAATGTTTTAGTGTATGAGAGTATAAATTGGCCCTGGTTATTGATACACCAGTGCTTGGAGGATATCTCTCCCTGATTTCTATTAAATGCTACATCTGTTTTTTCTTTGTTACTCTCTGCATGCTTCATCCAGTGATGTATTTTATCATGGGGCTGTGTGTGGAGGTACACCAGAGATTGTGTTGACAGACAGGTTCAACACATCATTAACAGGTATAACTGCTGTGCCTGTGGACGAGGGTTTCTTTGCAGTCCAGGTAAATTATTATTCCCTAATTTAAACATTATTTGTTTCACAACAATCACAAAACAAGCTTTCAGCTTCTATTTATCACTGATGTTGGCCTGGATCAATGTACATAAGATGTCTTACTGTAGGCTATCTGACATAATGTTCCTTACTCCACTATCAATATCATAACCATCCTTGCTTGATGATTTAACAGATAGTGTTGTCAAATTATCATAAACATGCTTCTAAATGTCAGAACGTGTGAGACTACAGAATATCAGTCACTTTACCCAGATCATTTTGGTTTGAGGGTGAAATACTTCATGGGAGGTCACAGTGTGTCAGTCATTTTACCCAGATAACATTTTGGTTTGAGGGTGAAGTACCTCATGGGGGTCACAATGTGTAAGTCACTTTAGTCAAATATCAGTTTGGTTTTAGAGTGAAATACTTGATTTGAGGTCAGTGTGTAAATACATTAATAAAACCATACATTGTTCTGTAAAGGTTGACTTTTTGAAGGGTTCAATTTTTATCTCTGAGAGGCAGTGCTCAATTGGAGAAATTCAGCACATCCTTTAAATTATTTACATCTTCTCTAGGAGTGAGAGGGGTTTGTCTAAACTCAGTTTTGTATAAATAGTAGGTCTGACCACTTAGGGACCAGAAGGGTGGAACAAGTAGGGAAGATGGAGGAAAAGCTTTAAAATTCTTCTTCTTCTGTTAAAATGAAGATTTCATGACCAAATTAAGTGAGAAGCATTTTTAGGAGAAGGGGACACCATTTTGTTTCCTGTGAAATCATTAAAATTTAAAGTTTACTGTGTATACCATATCATAGAACCAGTGGTGAAGTTTAGTGTGAAATTAGCTTTTTTTGTATCAAGGCCTTTAGCCTTTTGATCTACCAGATAGTTTTTGACTCATGTCTTAAACCGCTTATGAAATGGGACTTTGTGTTACAATTGTAGACATATTATAGCTATATTTGTTTGTGTTTCTTTATAGATGGACAGCTACGGAGAAGTGTTTTATCAGGGTTACACTTTCTCTAGTAAAGGGCATGACAAGACCTGCTCAGTTGAGAGCGATAGCAAACCCTGGGATGACATCACAATCAAGAAGGGGCGCAAATGGATCTCAAGATATCTTAAAAAAAAAGAAAAGAAGAAAGACAATGATTCCAAAAATCTGCTGACACCAAAGGAAAAAGTTGGCATTACAGGTTAGATTTATATGTTTCAAATCTATATTTGAATAATTACGTTAAGGTATGGATGAAATTCATGTGAGGTATAAGTGTAATACTCTAGTTTAAACCCTGACCTGACTAATGAAATTAATGTATAATGATTGCTAGCAACCTGATGCTATTGTCATCAGACTATGTTTTTCAGTAGCCTTGACAGGGATCTCTGTAAACTGTAAAGGTTGGTTAAAATTTCTATAATGTTACCAAGACATGTAAGCAAAAAGAATGTATTTTTCAGAGAAGTAATGAAATGGATTATGGGTTTCTCTGTAGTAGTACTTTGAATTTGATTTTATCTTTGAAAATAGAAACAATCTGTACAGTATTTTGAACCCTAAAGAGATATATATTTTTGTAGCCATTAAGAGACCTCTGTATAGTTGTAACCCTATAGAGATATGTATGTTGATAATCCTGTACAGATCAACGTACATTTGTAACCCTGTAGAGATCACTGGATATTTTAACCCGTTAGTGATTTCTGTATATATGTTACCTGATGTATCACTATAAAGTTATAGAAATTTTTACTGATGTATATTTATTACCATGTATTTTTTTCTGTATATTTTGACCCTATTAACATATCTGTGTATTTATGATCCTATAGATATGTCTTTGGCAAAAAAGCCCCACATCAGATGTCCAATTTGTCACCCAGACATTGAAAGAATGGACAATGATACAGACACTGACCAGTGTCCAGTCTGTTGTCAGAGCTTGGCCACTGGTCATCAGCTAATACAGTCAGGGATGGTAAGTAACTAAATCTTGGTAGTTATACCATCAGAAGGTATTATCCTAAGCTGTGACAGTATAACTGTATTATCTGGTAAAAATTCTATGACTTATTGTAATCCCAACCATATATCATTGCTGGTTTAATGAAAATATAAACTGATGCTGTTTCATTGTTCTGTGAATATTCACACTGAGGCTTGTACAGGGGTAACTTGTTCACCTTTCACTTTGAATTTTGATATCAGAACATAATTTCTTATTTATTCTACCAAATAGATCTAAAACTATATTGTCTGTGGCCTTGTGTTTTTGTGTTTTTCTTTTGTCCCAAGTAGCAGTCTAGCACTTTTGATTGTTCTGTGATACATTGAAAGATGGTGTTCATCTTGGATTGTCTCCCTTTACCAAGTATTGTATTGAAAAATATCTTTAATTTTAAGGAATTCATGTTTTTACAGAGAGTGGTAGGATACGGGCCTGATGACCACAAACATTCATACTCTACTCGGTATTCTATAGGAAATTTTGAAATACCTTGTGCACAGAACAGGAGGACAGAGAAAGAAGAAAGATTTCCAGAGACAAATGCCTTGAGTAAGATTCTAAAGGCCTTGTGGGAGGAAGAAAGTCCTGATCTCACAGCCCTGTTAAAAGAAAAGGTGGGTGTTCATGAACCAGCCTTACCTCTGTTGTACATTTTTTGTAAATTGATAAATTCTGTTGATGTATTTCCAAACTGCTTTGAATTCATCACCTTTTATAATGTTTGAAAAACTGGGACCACATCCTTACATCACACTCATGTGATATGTTTACTGGAACAAGAACATAATTAGTTTTCTTTGTATGGAACTTATTGATTAAAACATGTGCTTGTTTTAGGATGAAGAAGTGAACAAGAAGAAAGAAGAAAATAAGGAAAAGAGACAGAAAAAGTCCAACAAACTTGAGGATGAGGATCAACAATTGATTAGAAATCTTCAAATTGCTGTGGATGCTGGAAATCAGTCACTGCCACTAGGGGATACTAGTAATGACAACATGGAGTCAAGTATAAACAATAGAGAACCTGGAAGTGATGGCGAAGACAGTGATACTAGTTTTCATAGGCTATTCGGTATTGATATAAGTACACTGAGGGAAGAGGAACATCAGCTAGAAAATGACATTGCCCGATCAACTGGTGTCACAACTGATGAGGGACAAGAAAACATTTCAGTTAGATCACAAGATTTCTTAATACACTCGAAGAAAAGAAAAAAACGCTTATCGTCAGCAGTTTTGTTTTCTGATGATCCAGGTGAAGAAGTTGTAGGACAGCCAACAGATCATCATGAGGCTGTCTCTACAGATGAAAGTTACATGCTGATGCAATCAGCTGATATCATGGATGATAGGGATAGTGAATTCTTCTCTCAAGATATTGCACAGTCTTTTAGTATGTTTTCAGAATCAATATTGACTAACGTCACACCCACACCTCGTGACCCAAAAATACCTTCATTCACCTCAAAAATGAAGTCACATACGACAGTGATTAATTCTCCCAATAAAGACTGGAAATTGTCCAAGAAACGTAGCAAAATATCATACCAAGGATTTTAGTTCAAAGTTTGATTATGTTGTAGTTACTGCTATGTTGTAGCATACACTTTAGCTCTCTGCACTATGTGACAGTGAGTTAATGATATGGTGTAGTATCTGTTATCTACTAGTCAAGAATTTACTTTTCACTGCTTCTTGTTGAGTGAAAAATGGTAATAAACAGGTCTTGGTATTTGACTAGTAAGTAAATTGGGAAAAATGCAATAAAAATATCTCATAAAAAACGAGAGTGTGTGTATTACCTATAACAGCAATGCTAGGGTAATCAGTTGTGAACATTTTTTTTCTTATAGAAATCCAAGGAAAAATGTCATATTCATCACTGATCAGGATCAAATATTAATATGATCTATAATCTGAGAGAGATGAGACTTTGTAATACTGCTTTTGATAAGATTGTTGTAGTGCAATTGGTTTATGAAACATGCCATTCAGGCCTCTCGTCAGATATTTCCAAATTTACAATTATAGTGGGATATGTTTTGTCTTCAGATCTTGTCAGAGACTTTGAGTTGATTTTGTAATGTGTACATTATTAGTTCACCTGAGACAAAGTCTTATGTTTACTTATTACAAACACCTTCATTCGGCATTGTGCTTCATGTGTTGTGTGTCTGTAAACAATTTAACATTTTTGACTTCTTCTTGAAAACCACTGATCCAATTTCATTAAAAAAATTTCAGAAACCTCTTCCCTGGCCTAAGATGAAAGAAAATTGTAATTATACAGTACCCACCCCACAGGGGCCGGAGGGGTCAAATTGACTTAAATTTCAAAATATCTTCTCAACACCCAGATATGGTAGAATCAAATGCTCTTCATGAATGGAAGCATCTTAAGGTGCTTTTATTACCAAAATGAGTTTCACATTTTATTCTGGTAATTGTAACTGTAATTTTCATAGAAAAATTGCATTTTGGAGCATAATGTTGGTTATTTCACACTGGAAATAACTTCGTAAGAATTATCAGTATAGGATGATAGTTTTGATGGTATGCATGTATTAACACGTGCTTACTATATTTAGTGCCACAATTTCTGTTTCATGACACTTGATAACTATCCTTTAACCTTTATATTCAATATTGCTTATCTCAGGTGACCATCAAGGCAGCTTAGGCCTCTTGTGTAGAAAATGTGTTATATGAGCCTGATCTTGGTCTGGACCATCTGATTGGAAGAGAACTTTCTCCTACATCATGGTTGATATATGTCCCCATGGCTTATCACCAGGTGCTGATATTTAATGTTAGATGATTTTCTAATATTTTTAAATTTTGCATCTTAGTTGTTGCAGATTCCTTATACACTGCCCTTAAAAAATCTTGAACAAATATTTTAACAGCTTATTTTCTTCTTTTAACTTGCAAGTCAAAAAAGTTAAATCTTACCATGGGAAGATCATTTTTAGACATTTTACAAATTCTTAGCATAGATATATATTTCAAAATTTTACATACTATTTCGTCTTTACAAATTGAAAATCATCCTACCGTAACGGTAATTGAAAATAAAGATTATGTCAAATTGTTCTTTTTTTATTTGCTCTTTCAAGACTGACCTTTGGATGATATGCCCTGTGTTGTCTGTTCATCTATGCAATGACTACTCCTTATTAAGCACACGTTCTCCTCCTTACTATGTAAATGAAACTAACTACAAAGCAAATATGGCATGTTTTCATATTTCTCAATTTCACATATACTTGGTCATTTTAAAGAAGTCGTGGGAATTTCGTTTTTAAATGCTTCATATTTGTTCAGTAATTTTGATGCGGTTTGAGTTACAGAAAAGAAGGAAGTCACTTCAAAACTAATGGCCTGCTTTTACCTACAGTAAGAACCTTTTATTAAATTTTGGCTCTTTAGCTGGAACTTTTGTAGCTGGTGTAACGTTTATTTGTTTACCCATACAAACTAAGCTGCATCATTGCATAATCATTGTTATCTTTGGAAATACAAGCCCTTTGGGACTGTTGTGTTACTATATGGGTCGCACTGGCGAGATGTCCTTGGGATAGACTATCATGTCTGACACATCCCATTGGTTTATGTCACAGGAACATATGTACGATTAGTGTCTATTTCTGTCCGTAACCTTGAAGAGCCAAGGATACCTCCATATAGTGATAAACACCTGTCATGAGTCATGCAAGTTATGCATATTTTCATCAGCCATGTGAATATAAAGGTTTTGACTATAAGAATTATTTTTAACATTTGTTACATTCTTATTACCACTACTCCGACAGGTCTTGGCTTCCCGCAATGAACAGGATTCGTTAGCAATATATATATAAGATATAGTGAGATTTATTTCTGAAGTCGAGAACTGTGAAAGCTTCAGCAGTGTTATGGATGTTTGTATCTTGTCTAAGGTAAATTAATCTCTGCGTGTGACTGTCTGTCGGATATATTGGGTTTTTTTTATTTCTTTCTCCATGTATCTGTCAAATATCATTGGTGCTCTTTTCCTCTGCCTTAAAATACTTGTTTGTGACGGAAACACTTCTATGAGGTGTAATCTATTAATACCACCAATTAAACATATTTGTTAGAATAGCTACGAAATGTGACTTTAATCAGGACAGATACTTGCTATAAGGCTCATTGGATCTTATTTGGTGTTAGTTTTTCTTATTTTTTTTCTGAGGTCACCTGACCACGTGGGTTTTCCCCGGTACTCCGGTTTCCTCCCACAGTCAGATCCTTCAGCACTTCCATCCGAACCAACAAGTGTGATTATTAGATGGTAGAATAATTTGTTTCGCAATTGCTGTGAAATAAAGTTTTAGTAGGAAAATTATTGTTTTAAGTTGAAAACTACTCCTTTTTTTCAATGCCAAAATGAGTAGATTTTCTACGTATTTCGGGCTGAATGTGGACTAAGATATAGGGTATCATCTCATTTGTTAACAAAAAATGAGTATCTTTTTTAAAATGATCAAAAGTTAGAAAATTTGATATGTCACAAACGTTAGTATGTAAAATATGACCAAAAAAAACAAAAAAAAAACAGAGTTACGAAAATGCAATAAAAATTAACAAGCGCTCGAAAAATGTAACCAAGGCAAGAGGGATATAAAATGCATTCAAAGTGGCCGGAAAATGAAAATGTATCCAACGTAACAGATATATAAAAAAAAAAAATCCGAAGAATCAACACCTGTTTTTTAAGCATCCTCTCGATGTGTGCATGCTTGTGTTAGGTGTTTTGGAGTCTGGGTTATGTTCGTGTAGAGTGCGGAACTGAAGCCATCTTTACAGTGTTACCATACTGAAACATACTGCCTCCTGCAGGACATCCCGCCCAGTCACATACTGATAACGAGCAAACTATAGCAACACTGAACGTTTAGGGTCTGGTAGGTCTTGGCAGGGGACAGATTCATGTTCAAAGTTCAAAATATCTTATTAAAGTATCAAGCATATAATACACGTTTGCACTATAGTTTCATAAAATATGCCCAGCCAAAAAAGTGGCTTACAAGACATTTTATTACGTAGTAAGATATGACAAGTGATATGTGTAACCAATCTGTAGTGTGTATATAAATGATTTATAATTGGCTGTGTCATACAAATTGTACTGTTCACATTCTTCCATTTCATTATTTGCTTCAAGCTGGCCTTACAACGTTAGTTACTTCTTGTGAATTGCAGGAAACATACCTCGCGTTCCATGCGTTCTTTACCTATAGTCAGATTGCCAAAAATCCTTTCTACAGGAAAGAATAAATTTTCCTGATTTCATTTATACCATGACAATGGTGGCGTTTTATTAATAAACACCCTTTTATGGTTAGAGCGAAACAGCGCTAGCTGCATGAAATTTGGTGTAAGAATCTTCAAATAGACAATTTTTAGTTGGTCGCTATATGATCAGGTAGTGGTGTCAACATTTTAAATTAAAGAAATGTGCGTTATTGATTCTGACTCGCTCGAATAATCAGTTGTTTAAGACTGACTTTGGCTGTCAGAAAGGTAGAAGCTTCTGTCAAATGACCTATCCCTTTTATGAATATTTCAACTACCACCTATTTCTGCTAGCACTGCCATATTATTTCTTTGGAAAAAAGTCTACAATAAGTTTGCTAAGGTCACCGATACTGAAATAATGTAATTGTTTCCTCTGCCATGTGGTTCGTCGTTGCTTGGCGCCCCTAGTTTACATATGGCTGGGTGGTCCTTTAAAATATGTAAGTTGCAGTCATCGTGAGAACCCCGCTACTATTATGGTGTCGCACTCATCCGCATGCTGACAATTACTCCGGCAAGGCTTGTAAACTATGCGTAACACTTGACCAACTTCAAACTGCACCATCCCCTTCTATCAACCATCACCGTCTATCATCGGTACACCGGATATAGGGAAACGCGAGTCCAGAGTAACATTGGAAACACCAAATGAGAAATTTGAATGTGTAATTTACTCACTATAAAATTCTTGTGGTCAAACCTGTCATTTTTGGGCACCCATCGGGAAAATCGCAATAAGGCGACATATTCGTGTGACGAATGAAGATAATTACATTGCATGATATTTATGTAAATGCTGTTCTGAATAAGGAAGCTACACACAAATTACTTTTGTTCGAAGCTAACTACGCTCCATACATACACCATATCGGCACTCACGGAATTTCAAATGACTATAAATCGTACAGATGCCTAATTAATTATGCCAATGAAACGGTATCCATACTCAATGAATTGATATTATATCGGTTTGGTTACAATAATTACATATTTTTGGATGTCGGTGATATAAAACGAAGGCAGAATGTTTGACGACATGAAATGCTACCCAATTTCGACTTTATCATTTCTCCGAAGGTAAATTTCCATGTACTTCCTCAAGTACACCCCAAAATGAAATCAAATAATCCTACGTCAGATGAATAAAAGGAACGAATTTCTTACGTTCTGTCAACGCTGTTTTTTGTTTTGTTTTTTTTTTTTTTTCGGTTTTACGCCTCGCGTATAACTATATCCGGTGTACAATTTTAGACGAAGGTACTGCTCTTACATTCATTAAGGACAGATTTGTTTGTTAGCACTCCTGACCCAAAGGGTTATCATAGCAAGTCGTATTATTTATTTTTTCATCAAATTATCTGGTTAATGAAATTAAGGGATCATGAGAACTGAGTTTTTACATCTATTTCGTTGTCCGTCATACGCACAATACATATCGTTTGCGGATCCGAACATCAAACGTCAAGGCTGAATTATCTTTAAAGGTAAAATCAATAATTACCAGGTCATACAGTAGTACACCTGTCTCAGTGAAGATCGGTTAATAAAGATCATTGATACAGGATGACAAGATTGTCTGACTCATATCAATTCCGGTTCTTTGCGCCAAATGTTAAGTCCATAATGAGGTCGAAATGCGAAATTTCCTTCGCCATTTAATATGCTTGTGCAGGTTATAATTTCTTACTTCATAAAGGCAGTGAAATTTCATTGATTTATATCGGATGGTTAAATGGCGGGTTGCGTACCTACAAATTAATATTGTATAATCAAGGCCACTAATCCCGCATCGTAAATGTGAATAGATTACATGGCTATCATATGTAGGATGTTGATGTGATACTGCATGTCACGTGCGGATTAGAACATCCCGAGGTCATATTCAAATCAAATGTTATATTTATCATTTTGTCAAGCACTTCTGACTCATTAGAGATGTGTCAGTGAGATTCTATGGACGTAGAAATAGCAATAGAACAACTTTGGAGTCTTTATATCTGAAGTCAATGTCACTTGAAGTTCAAAGGTCAAAATATTTGTCGAGGCTAAAAGAGCCAGACCCACTCCTCGATCAATATTATTTTACATAAAAGTATTTCATGATCTTCTGTTTTTCTCGGGTGGCAAAAGTTCTGACTAACGCTGTAATACCGCAATTTTAAAGTAAATCGCTACCAATCTAACGTAATAAATAGTTTAAAAACAAGAATTCGAAACGACTCAGTGCTAATTCATAATTATGCAGGAAGTCCTGCCCTCTTACGCATACGCACAGAAATGTAAATAAATCTGCCGTTTTCCAACATGGCAGAAAGCGTGCGAGGCAAGCGGGGAAGAAAACGTGTTGTGATGGACTCTGAGACGAAAAGAAAGAAGATGGCTCCCTCGACCGGCTGGTTCATACTCTGTATTGCCCTCTGTTTGGCTCTCTCGTGTAGTATCACTCTGAAATCATATTCATAAATACTCTTATCATCGAATATTCGCTTTAGATAGATCCATTTCGCGATGTTCTATATGTTCGTTACCGTATCGTAGCCCCCATTTGAGGGCCTCTTTGCAACTTTTCACGTAATCTGCACGTTTTTGTGTCATATCTAAGCATTGAAAGATGTGATCAATACATACGTTAGATACTTTCCATACATGATATATAGAGTATTGATTGCATTTATCAGTAAAATATCTTTACAAGCGATGTCACATATGGACGTACTACTCACCTATTCCTCCATTTTTATTTTGGTTCTGACCGGGTCTGAACGTATCACG